AATCGGTCTCACACATGTAGATCTAAAGATATGAGTTCATACAAACACATTGGCAATTGACATAAAAGAAGATATCCTTACCCTAACATGAATCTCTCACACAGATGGCACTGTCACGTCATACGTGTCAAAGAGAAATCGAAAGGTATTTTAGCACATATATATCTGAGCTCTGACAGCAGCTGTACAATAAACATTCTTGTTCTAGAGTGAGTGAGTGAGTATGGTTTTACACCTCTATTAGCAATATTCCAGCAATATCACGGCGGGGGACACCAGAAATGGGCTTCACACATTGTATCCATGTCGGGAATCGAACCCGGGTCTTCGGCGTGACGAGCGAACGCTTTAACCACTAGGCTACCCGACCGCCCCTCTTGTTCTAGAGGTTGCCTGCATGACTGTTAATACATCGACTGAGTGTAACCATTAACCTTCATTATAAATATAAACAGCGGGGCAAAGAAACTAACCTCTCAGTTGATTTTATCACATATTTGATTTTCTAACAAATGTTATATTCGGGATAACACTTTCTCAGTAAAGTAACGATACTTTTTGGGAGTTGAGTCCCATCCGGGATTCGAACCCAGATTACTAGAGTGAGGCACCGAGGTGGCTGAGTGGGTTAGATTGTGTTGGCGATTAGGTGCCTCACTCTGGCAATGTGGGTTCTAATCCCGGACAGGACTCAACCCCCAAAAAGTACGAGAATCTGTACTTTACTGTGGAAGTGTTTTCCCAAATATAACATTTGTTACATATGACCACTTTTTGTGTGTTCCTATAAGATTTCCAACCTTTAGAAATTAAAATAATGTCGCATAGTACACAATTTACTGATCTTTGAAAATCAATATATTTTTCAAACAGTTACAGGAATGAGTGATGGTCAAACAAAAATAATCAAACAAAATTTAGTGCAATTTTCAATTACGTAAGCAACAAACTCGGTATTCTTTCTTTTGCCCCTCAATTTATAAAAAAAGTTATGTTTTTCATATCTGTGATCTGTTATGTATGCTGGCCATTGCAACACGGCCTTCCAATTGTGGGTATTCTTACACTTTTTTCTCCGTAGTATCCACTTTTTGCCGTTCTGGAATAGAGAACGTTTTGTAACATATTCCTCAAAGCTCTTTTCTGTTTTTGATTTTTGTTAAAGGAATTTTATATTCATTTTGGAACAGGCTTAAAACTGTTTATTAAACAAGTGCACGTGGGCGTTTCTACATGAAATGAATCCCGTTTTAAAGGAAACACCGCCATTTCCTGGCGGTTAGCAACGCGTACAGGACATTTTGCTCTGCGCATTCATAATTATTATATTTCGTTAATCTGGAAATTTGGTAATCCTTGCGATTTCACTGCTTTGGTTCGGCACCTTCCACATGGACGGGATGCTATTTTGTATAACAATGTGCCTCGTTGCTCGTTGATTAACGACAAGACAGTATCTCTTGATATGCCAAATGTGACAGGAACACAACACGAAAACACATTCAGAACACTATCATCCATCTTTCATTACACATTCATATGTGAAACAACCAATCTCTCAGAAACACCTGTTGCACACAATACGGTGGTGAACTCGTCCTTCCAGATCTGGAAACGCAATCACACACTCAACACATGATATATGTCAGGATTTATTGAACGGAACCATCAAGCATCTAAGTGCATGTTTATCATCAATAGGCAAGGCTTGTATTGAAGGAGTGAACTACCGCAGAGACCCATAAACAGTTGTTCACAAATGGAGTTGTCAGGAGAAAACCATTGACAAACATATACTCGTTCGCACAAACATTGATGAAGGAGATAGAGACCTATATTGCTAATGGTTAAAATGGTATCCAACACTGGAATCTTTTTGTTGAAGGTTTAATAAATATTGAACCAACAAGGAAGACAATATTATTTGCACGCTCAGGGGCCTGTTACGCAAACACGGGATAATATAAATAGAACATTAGTAATGCGCTGTTCTTTCGATCTTGTTCTTTGTCAGCTCCTAATGGCGTATACAATCAAAGCTACCTGTGAGGCGATATAAGGTAAACAGCCACATTTCCATCTCATACTGCCAGGTACCCATTTCCTGCTCGGTGATCATAGGCCTATTTCGAACAGTCACTTGCCGAAGGAGACACCACATGTGGTACATCTGCTTTAGTATTTGGCAGTACGAAGCCCTAGAAACTCACAGGAGTCAAGCTGCCGAACGCGATCACCCATCCAACTACCCTCTGCGACCTACGATGCGTAGCTTCGCCTGATTTGTGACCTGTGCGCTGTGCGCTGTGCACAGGACCACGTGCCACCACAACCTCTGAAGAATGTGCCCGGTGCACTGGTCGACAATCTTCAATAATGAAGGATGAAACCCTCACCCGCCTGTTTTGATCAGTCACTATTGGCAAGCGAAACAAGGCCACGAAGTCTTCGCCAAAAGAAGACGGCATCACTGTGTACAAGTCATCCGTGGTGGAATAGGGACCGGCTATATGCTCATTTATAAAAACAACATCACGATACATCACGGGGACGTTGTATAATGCATATTGTTTGGTGAACGGTTAAACGCGTAAGACCAGCGCCATGTTCCACAAGACTATCATACTTCAACTACTTTAAGGACAGTCGTAGCGTAACGATCGCCCTGGGCTCACAAAGGTCGTGCACGTTTCAAACCGTCAAGCTAACAATATGCATCATACAACCTCATCGTGAAGTTATATGCATTAATATATGGATTAATTCAACCTTCAGATTGTCATAGGAATATTACAATCATATATACTGCTTTCAGAGCGATCACTGTCAGGAATACGTATATACTTCGTTCCATACAAGCGATTCGTAGATCAATAGTGTCAAATGGTCTGCGGGGAAGCAGCTGGGGTAGTAAGTGGTTAAAGCGTCCGTTCATCACGCCGAAGGCCCTGGTTTCGATTCCCTAGAAGGGTACAATGTGTGAAGTCATTTCTTATGCGATGTTACAGGAATATTGCAAAAGGCGGCGTAAAACCATACTCATTCTACCCCAAATGGGGCGGTGGGGTAGCCTTATAGTTAAAGCGTTCGCACGCCACGCCGAAGACCCGGGTTCGATTCAAACTCATTGGTACAATGAATGGAAGCAGTAAAGCAAGCGAAACCGCTCCGGCAGTGGACCTATATAAATACCATGTATTAGCGGACAAACAGGTACGAGGTTATGTTTCTATAACCGATTCTTCATCAGCCCGCATGTGAGGATGCTTTAAGGTAGGGGTGTGCAACATAACTGGTATACCGGTATATTGCAATACGGCCGTCATCAATACACGTATCGCAATGCAACCCTTGCATAATGATATTCCTATCTAAACCCTGTAAACAGCACACACTTCACGCTGTTTGCATTAACATTCCGCATTGATGACGAAATAGGAAGTCTCGTTTATCCATACTACCCATCTCGCGATCTTAAGTTGGGATTATTGAATGAAGAAGTATCATTTGAATAGTACACATATATATCATTAGGACCCCCAAAACGTATTGCAAAATGTATCGGAATTCAGCTGTCCGTATTGCCATATATTGCAAAACGATTTGTGTGCCAATACGCCAACCCTACTTTAGGGTTTTATTGGAATTTGACCACCGTGATGCTTGGACATCCCAGGGATATTTTCATGTTATGTGAACCGTGAAGATTCTGGGTAGAGTAGATCTTCAGCAACCCATGCTTGCCGTAAAAGGTGACTATGCTTGTCGTAGGAGGCGACTAACCGGATCGGATGGTCAGGCTCGCTGACTTGGTTGATGCATGTCATCGATCCCAATTTCGTGGATCTATGCCCATGGTATTAATCACTGGATTGTCTGGTCTAGACTCGATTATTTACAGACCGCCGTCATATAGCTGGAATGTTGCTAAGTGCGGCGTTAAACAACAAACCAACCAACCAACCATCATGTTATGTATATCTCTTTTACAGCCCTGGGATTTTTTTTTGACACATTTACCAGCCATGTCAACGGTCAAGGTGATTGCCTGGAGAAATGTCCGTTAACAGCATTTCCTGTATGTGAATAAAACTTGGTACTTGGTACGGGATCGAATCTGAAATGGTTTTCACTCATATGCCTTTTTGTGCAGACGTGTTTTTTAATTCTTATACTTTTTGAATACGAATACTAATGACAATATTTTGGTGTAAAAATATTTTTTTAAAACCTATGGTGATTGGATATCTCTGGGATATCATATCATGTATCACATATATTGAAGGTCAAATTGACTCTCGGTCTTACAATGAAAATAAGCATTTAGTAGGCTTCAATTGAGTGTCAAGGTAATTAAACCGGAAGTGGGTATCACTATCTTATTATTAAAGGTTAACTAAAGACATGGAACGTTTTGTTTTTAGGTTCCACGGCATATGGCATGTAAAACGTGAATATCATTTCCTTATTGATGCTAAGGGCATGGTATTTTCTGTTTCACTAATTTACTGCATTAAACATGTTTTCGCAAACAGAAAATGGTCGGAAGTGCTTATAACAGTGATTTAAGGCAGCACAGGAGTTTCTGTTTCAAATTTTTCTAATCCATTAATTGGGCGTATGTTCTCCCAAACTGGAAGTGATGTTGTTTATCTTGAAGCTTATTACTTAGTATTACGGTAGTTATAGGCATGACCTTTTGTTCCAAAGTTGTACCGAATCGGACAGATTGGAACCAAAATGATGTCATTAAACACTTTCCTAGTTGGTATCCATTGACTAATGTATGAACTAGGTCTTACAATCGATGGCTTTATTACAAATTGAAATTTGACATTTATTTCGAATATCCATGTGAAGAACTGACATTTGTTTTAAGACTGACCAAACGAGGAATTAAATATTGCATACAGTACGCATACAAGTGTCATGATCGTGTTGCTGATCCATTCTATATTTGGGATACATGTATCCTCAATTCAACTGACCTTAACTAAAGTTCACTTTTGTGGCGAGAATATTCCTGGGAATGCTTGTGTGAGTGTTTGCGCTGAAAACACATTTGATCTGTTTAAGACAAGAGCATTATTATTCACCGTGGTGGAAGAACTTATCTTCAGTCGTCTTGCACTCAATGCAGCTGCCAGTGCATCTCCGTGTGAAACAGGTGCAGGTCGGCGTGGCTTTGGTGGGGACAGGGCTGCTTGCCGTGGAGGAGGCACACCAAATGATGGCGGAGGTGGAGTAACGGCCGCAGATGGGGGAGGGGTAGGAGTCATGGCTGCTGGTGGGGGTGGGGCCATGGCCGCAGGTGGGGGAGGGGGTGGAATCATGGCTGCTGGTGGGGGTGGGGCCGTGGCCGCAGGTGGGGGAGGGGGTGGATTCATGGCTGATGGTGGGGGAGGAGGTGGAGCCATAGCTGCTGGTGCGGGAGGGGGTGGGATTGGGGGTGGGGCTATGGCTGCAGATGGCGGGGTTGAGGTTGCAACTGCTGGTGGTGTTGGTGCCGATATAGTTGGGGGTGGGCCCAAGGGAGGTTTCTCAGGGGCAGGTCGGGGCACCTGTTCTGATGTATTAGTGGCAGAATGAACAGAAGATGACAATAGTCGTGTTCTGGATGACGGCTGTACTTTTGCAACAGGTTTAGAGCTTTTCTTCGGGCTTTTGTGCCTTGATTTAGAACGACCCCTGTCTTTATCAGGTCTATTTTCCTCCCTTCTCCTTCCATGGCCTTTGTATGAAGAATCATCAGAGGATGACTCACTTATGCTGTCCCGTCTCCTTATTTTCTCCCTGTGTTTCTTTCTCTTTTGTCTGTCTAGAGAGGAGCGACTGGCGGCAGAAAGTAGTAGACTGAGGGATGACATCTCCAGGTCTTCATCTTCATCGGAATGTCGACTCTTCTGAAATGTGAATGAGATTTCAGCTTCACAAATAGACACCAAAAACAAATAAACAAACAAACAAACAATTCTTTCGGTATTGGTAATAGGCCGTGATTGTTCAATGCCAAAAAACTATCGAAAAATCGAACAATAGTTTCGCTGTGCATCATTTTAAGAATACTTCCTCAATTACACCTTTGCCAATAATCTTGCAATGTGGCTATCATCACTCAATTTGACTTCCTCTTCACCTTAGCCATCTCAATCAGGGACAAACGTCACTTATTTACAAAAATTACATCCACTAGATGCAGATATATTTGGGAGGTGGGAGGGACTACTTCTGATGTAATTGAAAAAGTGTTCTTGGAGTGAGTGAGTGAGTGGTTTTATGCCGCTTTTAGCAATATTCCAGCAATATCGGGGGGGGGGGGGGGGGGGGGCTACCCCACCGCCCCTAGTGTTCTTGGAACAATACACGATAACTATTGTTTGAATATTTTGAAAACCCTTCCTCTGATACATCATTGCTTGACGGTTGGTGGGGTCTAGCAGAGAGTTATCCAGGATAGCTGATATGAAAACAGAGTAACGTAAGGCAAAAGCATAATGCCTTGATACTCCCACTGGAAATAACGTTATATTGGCACTTCAATGTCGTTACTTTCGGGTGTGATTAACGTCACATCCTTTACCATCCATGATCTCTTCTGGTTCTGGCGACTTCTTAATGTCTCGGACCGCCTCCGTGGTCTAGTGGTAGAGCGTCCGCCCGGAGAGCGGAAGGTCCGGGGATCGATCCCCGACCGCGTCATACCAAAAGACGTTAAAAGATGGTACTTGTTGTTACCCTGTCTGGCGCTCGGCAGTAAGGGGCTAAAACAAGGACTGGTCGGCTCGGAGTCAGTATACTGTGTCTGAGTGGGGTATTCATGTTAAACTGCGGCATTGTATCTCAGTGAGCTAGCACTATAAATCGGCATCAGTCTGGTCTAGTACAAGCAGCCACACAAACACACACACGTGCATACACGTCGCTATATAAGTGCAATAATCTTGGACGCGACGTTAAACCGAATTTCACCTCACCTCACATCTTAATGTCTCGTCAGACCCGTTCCAGATATTCTAGTGCGAAACCAGGTGTAAACTGGTATGATCTGTCCAACCAAGGCCAACATATGATCAAATAGTCAACTTACCTAGAAAATGGTGACCGGCAACTGAGACACTCTAGCCTGTGAGGCCACTAATGGCCCGAAGGAATTTACCCGCTCTGAATAAGATATATCTCAATCAGGTAAAAAATGAATGTTGAAAATGCTCGAATCTCGCGGGAATGTGTGTGGTGTTTTGATTTCCTCCAGTTGAAAATACTTCATGAGTACGGGATGGAAGTCGCCGTTCAGCCCGTCATGTTGGAGTACAGATGCCAGAGCTCACTTGTATTCTTCTATGTTTCCATGTTGGAATTCCTTCTCCTGTTGTAGATGTAGTAAGAAATCCGCCACCATGTGGATAGTTACATCCATGCGTTCCAATCCTCTTCCTCTCGCCGAACTTGTTCCATCTGATATCGTAGATGGCGGAGGAAGGCCTCCCAGACTTTGCCACAGTATCGGAGGCAGACTTGGAGAAGCCGGAAGTCTGCTTCTTCGGGTTGATTGTTTCCAGGCGTGTATGTGAAGATGAAGAAGGTCCGTTCTTGGTTGACGTTGTAGATCGTGGCGTAGTTGTGGCTGGAGTGGATCTTCCATGAGTAGACATTTTTATGCAGGATGGGTAAGGCGGAGTGTGCCACGGTGCTGTAGACTGAGTGTCGGCAAACTCGGTCGTTCAGGTATGTGGTATGACGACTCCGTGAGAGCGGTCATGTTGAACCCCACCCCAGGCAGGCGACGGTATGTGGTGAGGTGTGTCCATAGCCATCTTCTTCCGTTCCACAATACGCTCAATTAATACCTACGTCATTAATTAACTAGACAGGTACTACCAGTAAACGTTGTTTTTGTTGTAAACCTAAGAATACTAGTGGTGAATTTATCTAAAAACACATGATTTGTTCCAGCAGAGACCATAAAATAGATAAATGAACATAAATGTTATGGAAAGAAGTGGCGCCCCCTGCCCGCGCATGCGGTTTTCCTAACAACTGATTAGGGTGGCTGACAGTGAAGAGGACGTCTGTTGAAAATCTGAAGATTTTTTTAGTGTGATGATAGCCAACTTGCAATGGCGCAATAGAGGTAGGGTATTCTTAGAAATTACTGAATGTTCTCCAACCACCAATCATTCATGAGGCGGACAAGAAGATATTGGGTAAGGATTTCAGTGGCATTTGCAACAAACAAGCGGACATCTTGGACAACTACAACACCAACAATGTTACAAGTCTAGAAAGGTACTCGCCTTCTTCCGTTTGCGTTTCGCTGGCTTGCGCCTGTCACAACCTCTGGATTTGCAATGGCTGAAAGAAAAGGCACTGAACTTAAATCAACACACATAAAAAAAACTGTAACACAAACGACTTGTAAAAACATAATGAAGTTGGTTCATAGGCAACGATCAATGTCTAAATTCAGTAATTTGGTCAAGTGACTAACTTGTGTCAGTCGCTTTACATATTGGTTGAAAATTACTTTGCTAATGGTCAGATTGAACTAGTTTATGAGTAAAGTAAACAGTGACCACAGAGTACGATTTGATGCTGGTTTTTTTGCTAAAAGGGAAAAACATATATTGCAAATATAGTAATGCAAGTGAAATCCATTGTAAAATAGTAACACAACACATGAAAAACTTTTTTAATTGTGATCGCCTTTACTACTTGCCAATCAGTCATGTTGCAATGAAACGTCATTTCCTGGTGTATACAGTGTACTTTATGTACTAGTATATTATTTATCGCAACTGAATGGAGACATATTCATTGCCATATTTCTGCTTTCACTTGGTAAGAAAAATACACTTATATTTAAGTTTATCAACCTTATATGATGATGGTCTCTCAGAATAATATCATTGACATGATCCAGCTGAACATATTATTGCGCATAGCTTGGTCAAGTTGTTGGTGTGAATTTAAAAGACGTAAACAAGTTATTTTGGTTTATAATCAACACTATTTTAACGTTCAGGAACTCAGTGTTTTTTCCAACATAAAGGTGCTCAGTTAATACCGTTTTAAATTAAATGTAAATAGCGAAATGTATTCTTTTGACACTTTGATAGAGTCTGCAAGAATAGGGCAGGCACATTCATATTTTCCTACACTGCAAGGCATTTGTAACATTTTAGCCTCAACCTCAACCCTCCGAGAGAATCAAATTGCTTCTCCCTTGATCTTTTTCAGCCGACGTTGATAAAAATGTGACCATGGTCTTCACTGCCTTAATACATATTTTATGTGTGCTTCACCAACTGTTCCATTTCCCCCGCAACAGCTACTTACATATATATTAGGGTGAGATGAAGCATCAGGAAGAGGACGACCAAAGCAACACCGCCAACCATTAGGACCAGTGCCACGTGGTGTTTCACAAATGCGTCCAGGTCTGTAAACAGATGGTAATGATTTACAGAACTTACGCTGTTATGAAGGCTGATGGCAATCGGTTTGTCACTGTGTACGTTTTTGTTTAGACATTGAAATTCATTGCTGATATAATAAACCGAATAAGCATTTATGTAACATTATTTATAAGCATATGAATGAAAAATAACCAATTCCGTTCACTTTTACTGATAACCACCATATAACCCAGCCGGGGGTGGCTGGGAAGGTTGGATTTTGTATGGAGACAAGACATGTTTCAGCTACAGCTGCAAAACCAGGTATCTTTTTCCCAATAAATCACATCTTCTCTCCCCCACCCCCACCTTCCCATCTCCGAATATGAAATGGTCGGTCCCTAAGGGATACTAACAAAGAGATATGCACGTATATGTCAGTATTACCATGAAGAATTCCGGCGTGGTTTTCATGCCCGAGGGGTGTTTGACTCCCATTGTTCGTCACCGGTTCCTTTGGCTTGATAGGTTTCTCTTCTGTTAGCAATATTTTCGAATAGAACAGTAATAGTGAGTGAGTATGGTTTTACACCGCTTTTATCAATATTCCAACAAAAATCAAAGCATTACACAATGGTATTCCCACAATGTACCCACCTGTCGAATCAAACCCACATGTACGGCGTGACCTACGAACTCCTTAACCACTAGACTACCTCACCACCCCAATGAATTATAGAAGAAGGCTCGGGACACTCTTTTCAATGTATAGGTTTATATCTTTGGCTTAGCTGGATACTGTGTCTACAAAGTAAAGTTCTCAGGCTCTCAAACAATAGTTATCTTTGTTACTAATTCTGAGAATTCTACCTCTATTACATCATAAGCACTCCTTTCCAACCCGCTATCATTGGCATACAGTTTGCAGGATTGGGAAAGAAGTGAGAGCTGTATGCAGTTGTGTGCTAGTTGGGATACAACTAGCAATGTATAGTTGACAGCGAAGAGGACTTTTGTTGAAACTCTGAAGATTTAGTTATAGCTCGATAACAGCCAAAATACAGGATTGTGTCAATGATGTAATTCGCAGGAATTGTCTGGTTTTAATGTGGACCTACATGTATCTCTAAATGCGAAATCATGCTACATGCACGGCGGCAAAACCAGGTATCTTTTTGCCAAAAAGGTTCCCATCTCCTCTCCACCCCACCTCTGATCCCCAAATATGAAATAGTCGGTCCCTAAAGGATACTAACAAACATATATACACGTATAGGTCAGAATGTCAGTATTACCATGATGAATTCCATTGTGTTTTTCATCCGTCGGGGATATTTTACTCTCACTGTTTGTCAATCGTTCCTCTTCTTCCATGGCATGCTTTGACTTGATAGGTTCCTCGTCTGTTAGCAATATTTTCGAATAGAACAGTAATAGTGAGTGAGTATGGTTTTACACCGCTTTTATCAATATTCCAACAAAAATCAAAGCATTACACAATGGTCTTCCCACAATGTACCCACCTGTCGAATCAAACCCACATGTACGGCGTGACCTACGAACTCCTTAACCACTAGACTACCTCACCACCCCAATGAATTATAGAAGAAGGCTCGGGCTACTCTTTTCAATGTATAGGTTTATATCTTTGGCTTAGCTGGATACTGTGTCTACAAAGTAAAGTTCTCAGGCTCTCAAACAATAGTTATCTTTGTTACTATTTCTGAGAATTCTACCTCTATTACATCATAAGCACTCCTTTCCAACCCCCTATCATTGGCATATAGTTTGCAGGTTTTGGAAAGAAGTGAGAGCTGTATGCAGTTGTGTGCTAGTTGGGATACAACTAGCAATGTATAGTTGACAGCGAAGAGGACTTTTGTTGAAACTCTGAAGATTTAGTTATAGCTCGATAACAGCCAAAATACAGGATTGTGTCAATGATGTAATTCGCAGGAATTGTCTGGTTTTAATGTGGACCTACATGTATCTCTAAATGCGAAATCATGCTACATGCACGGCGGCAAAACCAGGTATCTTTTTGCCAAAAAGGTTCCCATCTCCTCTCCACCCCACCTCTGATCCCCAAATATGAAATAGTCGGTCCCTAAAGGATACTAACAAACATATATACACGTATAGGTCAGAATGTCAGTATTACCATGATGAATTCCATTGTGTTTTTCATCCGTCGGGGATATTTTACTCTCACTGTTTGTCCATCGTTCCTCTTCTTCCATGGCATGCTTTGACTTGATAGGTTTCTCGTCTGTTAGCAATATTTTCGAATAGAACAGTAATAGTGAGTGAGTATGGTTTTACACCGCTTTTATCAATATTCCAACAAAAATCAAAGCATTACACAATGGTCTTCCCACAATGTACCCACCTGTCGAATCAAACCCACATGTACGGCGTGACCTACGAACTCCTTAACCACTAGACTACCTCACCACCCCAATGAATTATAGAAGAAGGCTCGGGCTACTCTTTTCCATGTATAGGTTTATATCTTTGGCTTAGCTGGATACTGTGTCTACAAAGTAAAGTTCTCAGGCTCTCAAACAATAGTTATCTTTGTTACTAATTTTGAGAATTCTACCTCTATTACATCATAAGCACTCCTTTCCAAGCCCCTATCATTGGCATATAGTTTGCAGGTTTTGGAAAGAAGTGAGAGCTGTATGCAGTTGTGTGCTAGTTGGGATACAACTAGCAATGTATAGTTGACAGCGAAGAGGACTTTTGTTGAAACTCTGAAGATTTAGTTATAGCTCGATAACAACCAAAATACAGGATTGTGTCAATGATGTAATTCGCAGGAATTGTCTGGTTTTAATGTGGACCTACATGTATCTCTAAATGCGAAATCATGCTACATGCACGGCGGCAAAACCAGGTATCTTTTTGCCAAAAAGGTTCCCATCTCCACTCCACTCCACCTCTGATCCCCAAATATGAAATAGTCGGTCCCTAAAGGATACTAACAAACATATATACACGTATAGGTCAGAATGTCAGTATTACCATGATGAATTCCATTGTGTTTTTCATCCGTCGGGGATATTTTACTCTCACTGTTTGTCCATCGTTCCTCTTCTTCCATGGCATGCTTTGACTTGATAGGTTTCTCGTCTGTTAGCAATATTTTCGAATAGAACAGTAATTGTGAGTGAGTATGGTTTTACACCGCTTTTATCAATATTCCAACAAAAATCAAAGCATTACACAATGGTCTTCCCACAATGTACCCACCTGTCGAATCAAACCCACATGTACGGCGTGACCTACGAACTCCTTAACCACTAGACTACCTCACCACCCCAATGAATTATAGAAGAAGGCTCGGGCCACTCTTTTCAATGTATAGGTTTATATCTTTGGCTTAGCTGGATACTGTGTCTACAAAGTAAAGTTCTCAGGCTCTCAAACAATAGTTATCTTTGTTACTAATTTTGAGAATTCTACCTCTATTACATCATAAGCACTCCTTTCCAACCCCCTATCATTGACATATAGTTTGCAGGTTTTGGAAAGAAATGAGAGCTGTATGCAGTTGTGTGCTAGTTGGGATACAACTAGCAATGTATAGTTGACAGCGAAGAGGACTTTTGTTGAAACTCTGAAGATTTAGTTATAGCTCGATAACAGCCAAAATACAGGATTGTGTCAATGATGTAATTCGCAGGAATTGTCTGGTTTTAATGTGGACCTACATGTATCTCTAAATGCGAAATCATGCTACATGCACGGCGGCAAAACCAGGTATCTTTTTGCCAAAAAGGTTCCCATCTCCTCTCCACCCCACCTCTGATCCCCAAATATGAAATAGTCGGTCCCTAAAGGATACTAACAAACATATATACACGTATAGGTCAGAATGTCAGTATTACCATGATGAATTCCATTGTGTTTTTCATCCGTCGGGGATATTTTACTCTCACTGTTTGTCCATCGTTCCTCTTCTTCCATGGCATGCTTTGACTTGATAGGTTTCTCGTCTGTTAGCAATATTTTCGAATAGAACAGTAATAGTGAGTGAGTATGGTTTTACACCGCTTTTATCAATATTCCAACAAAAATCAAAGCATTACACAATGGTCTTCCCACAATGTACCCACCTGTCGAATCAAACCCACATGTACGGCGTGACCTACGAACTCCTTAACCACTAGACTACCTCACCACCCCAATGAATTATAGAAGAAGGCTCGGGCTACTCTTTTCAATGTATAGGTTTATATCTTTGGCTTAGCTGGATACTTTGTCTACAAAGTAAAGTTCTCAGGCTCTCAAACAATAGTTATCTTTGTTACTAATTTTGAGAATTCTACCTCTATTACATCATAAGCACTCCTTTCCAACCCCCTATCATTGGCATATAGTTTGCAGGTTTTGGAAAGAAGTGAGAGCTGTATGCAGTTGTGTGCTAGTTGGGATACAACTAGCAATGTATAGTTGACAGCGAAGAGGACTTTTGTTGAAACTCTGAAGATTTAGTTATAGCTCGATAACAGCCAAAATACAGGATTGTGTCAATGATGTAATTCGCAGGAATTGTCTGGTTTTAATGTGGACCTACATGTATCTCTAAATGCGAAATCATGCTACATGCACGGCGGCAAAACCAGGTATCTTTTTGCCAAAAAGGTTCCCATCTCCTCTCCACCCCACCTCTGATCCCCAAATATGAAATAGTCGGTCCCTAAAGGATACTAACAAACATATATACACGTATAGGTCAGAATGTCAGTATTACCATGATGAATTCCATTGTGTTTTTCATCCGTCGGGGATATTTTACTCTCACTGTTTGTCCATCGTTCCTCTTCTTCCATGGCATGCTTTGACTTGATAGGTTTCTCGTCTGTTAGCAATATTTTCGAATAGAACAGTAATAGTGAGTGAGTATGGTTTTACACCGCTTTTATCAATATTCCAACAAATCAAAGCAGAGACACATTGGGCCCGAATCGATTTATTGAAGAGGGCCTAGGCCTTTCTTTTCAATAGATTGATAGATAGATGCAAAGTTCAGGGTGTGAAACATTTTTAAAAGAAGTATTTATTCTTATACTTACATCAGGAAAGTTTATATGGTATGCATAACATCCTTAGTTTAGCCAGTTACTGTGTCTACAATGCTAAAATTCTTATGCTATGTTGTGACAGTATCAAAACAATAGTTTCATTGATAATAATTCTGACTCAGACAGACAGATACATACATACAGACAGATAGATCGGTACATACAGACATATAGATAGATAGATAGATAGAGACAGAGACATACATACATATAGACACAGACATACACAGTCAGACAGACAGACAGATACATACATAGACACAGAATAATACATACATACAGACAGACAGATACATACATGCATAAAGCTAGCTAGATACATACAGACAGATAGATATATACACATAGATAGACAGACCGACAGATACAAAGATAAAAACAGATAAATACATACATACAGACAGATACAAAGATAAAAAAACCAAACAGATACATTCATACATACAGACAGATAGATAGATAGATAGATTAGATAGATAGATAGATAGATAGATAGATAGATAGATAGATAGATAGATGCTAAGTTCATGGTGTTAAATATTTTTAAAAGAAGTATTTATTCTCACAGTTCCATCAGGAAAGTATATATGGAATTCATAGCATCCTTGGTTTAGCTAGTTACTGTGTCTACAATGCTAAAATTCTTATGCTATGCTGTGACAGTATCAAAACAATAGTTTCATTGTTAATAATTCTGAGAATACTACCTCTTTAACATTGGCATTGGCATCTGGTTAGCATGTTTGGGAAAGCAGTGAGTTTTTTTCAGCCTTGCACATGCCATGGTACAATTGTAAAAAGCGAAAGGTTATTGTAACTCCCATACCTTCACATAGACTTACCACAGTCGTAATGCTATGGTTGTTTTGTACAAGCACCGAGAGCTGTAGGCAGCTGTGTGCTAATATGGGTACAACTACCAATGTATAGTTGACACTGAAGAGGAGTTCTGTTCAAGCTCTAAAGATTTAGTAAGGATGAGAACAGCCAAAATACAGGATTGTAGCAATGATTTAATAGATGAAATTCACAAGTATTATCTGCTTTTTTTTATGTAGACCTACATGTTTATCTAAATGCCAAATCATGCTAAATGCAAAATGAGTTCTTCACTTGTGTTAACAACTCCACCTACCTTCCGCAGCTGGTTCTCTACCTTCATCATACACATAGTCGATGTCCTAAACAACACAGAATCAGCATTTTATCGTTATCCACATCTCAATCCCCCAAATATAGCAATACATACTACCAATGTTACACAGGGAAAACAGGAAGAAATTCTTAGGGCAACAACTTTTCGAAGTGGGTACTACTTGAAATGTCATTAATCTGTTTACACAAGAATTCTGAGATCAAGATATAACTATCTCAGTGAAGTGAGAACATACAACCACACATACATTATTTTCACACAGTCATTTATTTTCAGTTTCATGGATCTTTTGACACCATCACTCCAATAAACGCCCACATAAACCCTGCATAAATCCTTATTTTCCATTCACTGTTTGATGCTAATCCTTGGTGATAATACTCATCCCTATTGCGTATCTGTACATTTGCTGCCACACATCTTTCACCAGCTGTCTAGCTTTGTCATTCTGTATTATATTACTATGGCTTATATTTATGACTTAATTGATCCATGTCAGATTCCCACCCTTACACTTGATCTTTATTTGTTTAGGTTTGAAGCTCCAGGGTGCCAAAACTACTACCACTATATTAGTAAACATGCATATTCTTCTTGAACATATCTACCTTCATGTGTATATTTGAAAGCTACCTGTTCTCACTTCCGACCAAGTTTCGAATGCATTTGATGATATCTACGACGCCTTGTTACTACGTTTATACGTATAAACAAAGGCATTGTGTAAATAGGGAAACATACAACACAGTTTTTCTTGAGAGCCAACCATTGAAATCCTGTTTAGTGTATACTGTCACCAACCTGACATGGGCCATATGACAGCAAAACTAACACCCATACGACACCTCCATCTGCAATAACAATGAGTTAATGATTGTATACTGTTCAAAGTAATTAGTTGGGTATTAAAGTGTACACATCTAGTGTAGCAATATCGCCGATAAATAACACACCTTTGCGCTAGCATCCAGACCTGCTTAGGGGTTGTATTCGATAGGCCCAACTACTGGACATTTGTGTTTAGAATAGCGACTTAAGAATATAGTAATATACAACGATATAGTTGATATTATGTCTCATGTAACGTGTCGCAACATTATGCAACTTGTAAAAGTAGTTATATTTAGACAGAAGGTCACAATAGGAGACACATTAGCCTAGAATCAGAGAATAGCTCTGCACAGGTTATGAACGCACAGCTACGAATTCATCTGCCGTAATGTATTTTTCAGTTTAAATAAACAAATCTCCCTTTATCAGAACTTACAAACGTGGCTGGAGAAAGGGCACAAGAACATTCCCAAAAGTTGTAGTCTAAAACAAGAAATTCTTTAAGGTTAGAAAATACATATTGGCAGACATGTTTAGAAGCGCCATCTGTAGAGAAAAACAAACTCCATTTCAGCGCGTGACGTCTTCGTAACCTCCCGTTTAATGAGCTATCGCTGTGTGGAGTTTGACAGAAAGGACACCAAGGGAGACAACGCTGGTAGTCCTGCAGTTCCAAGGCTTCGTGCATGAAAAAGGGTAAGATAAGACAACAAAAAGTTGATGCAGAGCATCAAAGTTCTCCGCCACATGTGATGCCTAAGAAATGCATAATTTTGATGCTACTGATGTAAGGAATTAAAATTAATGCAAGGCAAATTATACGGGAGAAAATCGAGCTTTAATATAGGCTACCCCCCGGAGGTCCTGCATGGCAGAAGCGAAGGGCACGAAGCTCCATTGGGTCTAATTATATTTTCATCACATGAAACAAGGCTGGAATGCAAAAAACAAATATGATATCACGAATCTTTCCTAATGCAGTTGCTCTATTTGCATAGGGTATCTGTATTTAAAAACGAAGAAGAAGTAAATCGTATGACATTGAAACAATAATTATGTAGAAAAAGCTTCAACACTGCCAGTAATAATGGCAGATGCACATACTCAAATAATATACAGCATTAGAAATTGGCACTAGTCCTGTAGTCCTTGCCAAACTGCCCAAGAGTTAAGGTATCATAAGGACCAGTAGAGATTTGCCCTTTTAAAGGGTTTTGCTATATGTTATCATTACAAGGAACAGTGGTTTAAACCTGTACGTTAGTTTCTACCGCTGATATATACTGAACAACAAAAGTTCCTGTGACATTGAATAAGATTTAATGCAAAGTTATGTTTTTTACCAAATCTGTAACAATTTCGGTTTGCAACAGATATAAGACTCATGTAAGTATTCAAATGGTTTAATTTGCCATACTGACTTCAGAAAATGCGTGATTTCATTTTTTTAAAAACACCATGAACATGCCCAAATGTCAATTTCCAAGTCAATAGCGTGTGTGTCCACCTCTGGTTACGATGCAACAACACATCTTCGTCTCATGGAATGGACCAGGCGTCGCACAAAGTCCTGTGGGACATCTGTCCATATCTGCTGGAGCATGTTTCAAAGTTCCTGGAGTGTCAGTGGAACACGTGGTTGACGTCGAAGGCGCAGATCCATCTCATCCCACATGTGCTCGATTGTTGAGAGATCAGAGGAGCGAGCCGGCTAGGCGATGACATTCACGTTGTTTTGTTGAAGAGAATCCAAGTCGAGCAATATGAGGCTGGGCATTGTCATGTTGAAAGGTAATCCCTGGGGCATGACGACGGAAAAACGGTAGAACAACAGGGCCGATGATCTCGTCGCGGTAGAGCTGTCAATTGAGATTTCCCTCTACCACTATCAAACGGCTCCTCTGTGTTGCTGTAATCCCACCCCATACCATAACGCTGTCGCCCCCGAACCGACACAATGATTGACGTAACGTTCACCTCGACGTCTGTACACTCGATTCCGTCCATCGCTGTGGCTGAGGTGAAAACGAGACTCGTCAGTGAATAAAACTTGTCCCCACTGCATGGTCTGCACCACTGTAGACGTGCTTGACGGTGGTTTCCTGTCAAAATGGGACGTCTGGCGGGTCTTCTGGCGACAATCCCTGCACATCAAAGGCGACGACGTACGGTTTGTGAAGATATTCGTCGAAGGTCAGGGATGCTTCTTGCAGTCACTGTTGCTGGCTGGAATCGATTTCGTATGTGTGTTGTTCGAATCCAGATGTCTTGTCGATTATTGGTTACGCGTGGACTGCCACTCCGAAGATGGTCTCTGACTGCATTCGCCTGTTGCCAACGTTGCCATAAACACCAAATGGTGTTTCTGTGGACGTTAAATTGTCTTGCAACAAACATCACGTTGACTCGATTCTGCTTCAAGCATACCAATGGCTCGCAGACGCTCATTTTCGGACAGGCGTGGTATTTCGTAATGTTGAATAATTGCGTAATTTTGTTGTTTTCCAGAGTGGTTGTTGTCAGCACGATGCTAAACAATGCATATGGAATCCCGTTAACGCACATGTTTTTATACCCATTCTTGGGTAGTGAAATGCATGGGGCTTGCATAAAAGTCAACTTTTGCACGGAATGCATGCTTTTCTGTAGCAGTTGCGTTTTTTGTGATTCCATACATGTACTGCAATATTGAAAACCAAACTTTACTTGTTTGAAAAATATACTAAAATATTGGTGTCACCGGAACTTTTGTTGTTGAGTTTATAATCACATTGTTTTTGCACTTGGCAAAATGAGGCATTTGGTTATAATAATGTAAATGCAGAAAATAATAATAAAAATAATAATAAGGGCTCCAAATGCCAACATAAGTCGAACAAAATGGGAGTTCTTTTGGGCACAAAATGAAACATCCTACACATTGCAATCAGTGAACATGCTATATTGTGAAAATAGGTAACCGGTTGCGATGTCGTGCGTCAACATGGTTGTACATATTAGTATATCCTTTGAGGTGCGGGATCTACACAACAATTATTTTACACTTTCAATCTTGATCTATAATCTCTTACATATCTTTTAACCCAATAAATTTCAATAATGCAATATAAGTATATGTATCTCTTACTGTTTTATATTTAAAATGCCATAAAGGTAATATTTATGAAGCGTTTGATAATCTGTACTGTAGATGGCCATAGAAATTCGCATTCATCGTGTCACGTGACGCATCTTCTTCCTAGAAAATGTTAAGTAGAATGTAACTCGATCACTGCATCATATACATATTTCCTTTGGAGAATCGTGAAATATCCCTTATAGCAAATATATATATATATATATATATATATATATATATATATATATATATATATATCTTTTTCATTGAAAGTAAATGTATACCCGAAGGAAAGTCGTCACATTATATTTGAATCCACATGGCCTGGGCCGTTAATGTGACTTACAATGTTGGTTGGTACCATAGCACATAGTTGGTGTTCTGCGACACATTAAATACAGACCCGTGAAGATTCGGGGTAGAATAGGTCTTCAGCAACCCATGCAACTATGCTTGTCGTGAGAGGCGACTAACGGGATCGGGTGGTCAGGCTAGCAGACTTGATGATGCATGTCATCGTATCCCAATTTGCCGGATCTTAATCACTGGATTGTCTGGTCCAGACTCGAATTTTTACAGACCGCCGTCAAATGGCTGGAATATTGCTGAGTGCGGCGTTAAACAACATACATGACAACAGGCGACTGCGACGACGACGACGTTGATCCGTTTTGCTTCAGTTGGTCATCGCAGTTTTACAGCTTCTAACAAATGTTTTTGGCAACCGAGAACACCCCCACCTTCACATGCCTACCCATAACGTGCATCGACCGTGTGGCGTTCCGTTTCGGCATTGCTACGTTTGGGTACAGCATTTGGTTGCGCTGGGTTTTGCCGATTACGACAATGACATTGCTTTAAGTCACAGGACATGCTATTCATACTTCACATACCGTGTACGTGCTGATGCTTTTTAGAGTATTGTTTTACGCCGCATTTAGAAATATTCTAGCAATAGCACGGTAGGGGACCCCGTGGTTTTCGGTGTGACGAACGAATGCTTTAACCACAAGGCTATCCTACCGACCCACTGATGTGTTTCATATATGCTCCCACCAAAGAGTAGGGGGTATTCGAAAATAACAGATGATTACAGAAAGGCAAAGAGGTAATTGGTGTTAAGAAAGACTTAATATAAGTGTCACACGACAATCACCAGAACATGCTGGAGGTGCATTGCAAGGGTGCAACAACTAAGAAAGACGACAGGGGAGAGTAGAAACAATTACGTTTGAGATGACGAGCGTTATCGTTTTGAAAAACAATACGTGGATCAGCATGGCGCGCAGTTGGCAAACCAATGGCGCCGGTATATTGTCTTGGTGGTAATGTCAAGTGACCCTTCCACAGACATATGCAGTGGCGGTTGGGGAGTCTGAGTGACCACGCCACATATCATTACAGACCCACCCCGAAATAAGTCATGTTGTCTTGCCTTGACGTTCGTTAGACGCGCCCACGCCTATACAGAAAGTTCAAAGTGAATGAGAGCATCTCCCCAATTTCTACGCATTAAACAAAATTGGCGTCTGGCCAGAATGTGTCGATTTATTAACGGTGGTACAACACGTATTAGCCGAGCATGCAGACGTTTTTTACTCATCTGGTCAGGAACTTGAACTCCGGTGGTCTGTCGCAAGTGAACAGCGATTTGATTGGCTGTTTGGGCTCGATTTCCTAAAGCATGGTTTCTGATTAATCCATCCTAGACCTAGGGCGCCCTGTGCAGGGCCTATCATTAGTAATTTGTGTCTGCAGAAACCTGTTCTACATTCAGCAAATCACAATCTGAGACACACTGAATTCTATCAGTTTGACGCATGCCAATAGCCCTTTTGCGTTCATCACGTTTGAGACAACGCATTCCCAATCTGATCATAAATACTTCATTAAATCAAGAGTAGATAGCTTGTAAACGTGTCACTGTGGAAAAATGATAATCAGCAATACTAGCTAATGTCTCAGAGCGATTTGACGACATTTTACTGAAGACTCAAAATGAAGAATGACCCAACCCTCGTGCACGGACTAATTGCGTGGTGCAAGTGCAATGTTTTGTGTTGAGTTCGGGCATTAGGTTTTCTCTGACAGTCGTTTTTAAAAGCTGATCTGACGACCGATCTTAATATTTATATTTAATCATCCCCTACATTTGTTGGCGAGTACATGTACAGCAATATCACAAATGCGTGTCATTTTCAGGATTCTATTTATAAAGAGGGTGTTTTGTATAAGAGCTAAATGTGCTTCAAACTATTGTCACGAAGCTCTGAAGCTCAACAGTTGACCAGGTAAGGGGTGACTATACACCCTCAACACAAGACTCAAAACTGCTGACAAACAGACAAATTTGTTTTGTTTTTAATTCCTAACATCATACGAAATACGTAGCCAAAATTTACATATTGTATTTCATGAGATCATGTCATTTCCTAAATCAGACTCATTAATATTCAAAAGTAAAAAGGTCAATCCACCTGAAATATTGCATGATCAGCTTGCAATTGTGAATATAAACTAACGAGCAATAGAAACGTTACCTGAAATATTCCATGATCAGCTTGCAATAGTGAATATAAACTGACGAGCAAAAGGAACGTTACCTGAAATATTCCATGATCAGCTTGCAATGGTGAATATAAACTGACGAGCAAAAGGAACGTTACCTGAAATATTCCATGATCAGCTTGCAATAGTGAATATAAACTGACGAGGAAAAGAAACGGTCCCTTAAATAGTGCATGATCCGCTTGCAGTAGTGAATATAAACTGACGAGGAAAAGAAACGTTACCTGAAATATTGCATGATCAGCTTGCAATAGTGAATATAAACTGACGAGCAAAAGAAGCGTTACCTGAAATATTGCATGATCAGCTTGCAATAGTGAATATAAACTGACGAGCAAAAGAAACGTTACCTGAAATACTGCACGTGCAATATACCAAGCACCAGAGATACAGATATAAAAGGAACAATTTACTGGTACTGTTCATTCACACCCAAACCGTTGGACAGTGACAAATAGCATGCCAAGATCAAAGCTACAATCCACAGAAGAAGCCTTTGGTATGAAATATACCGTCAAGGAGCAACGCATGACCACGTCGCCAGGAGTTTTGGCAATATCCTGAGGAGTAGGTATCTTGAAATGCTCTCGTTTTATGGCCAGGTTTAGGTCTTTCGTGCCGAGGCATGTTCGGAAGGATGAGCCTTCCCAACAATGACAAGGTTGTTTACCCAGTCAGTCGCTTGTTCAACCTTTGCAACCACGTTGGATCTTCAAGTCCGCCTAAAGTTTCCCTGTTTCTGATGCATACTGTATGGTACCTTGGTGGTACCAAGGAGGTTAAATGACAGGTTTTACATTTGTGTCCAAGTCGATGTTGTATTTTCCTTCAAAACGTCCTAGCCCTGTGAAAATATCCTCATACTCTTCTATTTTCCCTTGATTTGTGATTTGATCTAGGTTAACATAACTCTGAAGAAGTGCAAATCAATGCATGCTGCTAGACATAGAATTGCGGAAAATTTACATTAACAATATAGAAATCGAGATAACGTTTTGTGTCTTGCACTGAAGTCATAATTTGCCATCCGGTTTCAAAGTGTTATTTCCATCAAGTCAATCTTGTAGGTATAAGGAGTTGTTCATAGTGCAGTTAATGAAATATACTACTCAAAAGAATCAAGGGTCACCAAAAAATATTACTTGTATTTTCATTGTACCATGTACACCAGCATTTGAATGTGTCGATGTCCAAATTGGTTCATATCGAGTTATAACGTTACGTTTGTACTCGACAGGCGTTTAATCATCTTTCAACATTCATTGCCAGGTGCTTTGAACCAAAAAATGACATTTCTGTCTGAAAAAAACCCCGATAGTCTGAAATGCCTTCCGAAGGGCATAGACGGCCGATAGGGTCACAGAAGCATGTTGCTTGTGCTGGACGAAGTCCTTATGAAATTCATTCACTCATTCCCTACAAAATTGAATATGCGCACTGAGGTTATCCCATTCTGAAAATCATGCCTTAAACACGACGTTTGAGTAATGTTGACAGAAGGAGGGCTGTGGCGTGGGTTCAGGAAGGCATCAGTTTGCATGATGTGGCACGGCGTCTTAATGTGTCGCCATCTGTCATTCACAGACTGTAGTAACGCTTTCAGAAAACAGGACAAGTGCAGGAACCACGTCGCCCTGGTCGTTCACAAAACACAACAATAGCACAGGATCGACTTATCGTCCTGACGGCACTACGCCAACGCACGCAAATGCACTAAGAATACAGCTTAGGAACGCTGCTTACACTAACGATAGTAACTAGAATATTAGGAATAGGCTTCGGGAGGCAAACTTGAGATAAAGACGTCAAGATGTCAAGCAGCTGGCCTCTTACGGCACCATCTTCACCATCTTTCCGAGGCAAGGGAATTAACTGACTATTAAACGTCCTGGACATTTATAGTCAGTTAACTCCCTTGCCTCGCCCTCGATCCCGCAATTGGGATACGGTGACATGCGTCAACCAAGTCAGGACATAACTTGTAATGTTGTTGTTAATTAATTGTCTTTTGACAATACAAGTATCTTCCTTGTTATTGGTCCTGTTCCATACTGAACCGCAAAAGAAACGTCACCATGGATAGATATATGAGAAACCTTATTTGTCCAAACAATGTTAACATACTTTGAGACATTAAAAAGATGAAACTTGGCAACACTGATCATCAAGGTTGAAATTAAGGTGTCAAATGTTCTTAAAGTGAAACACAACACTTGTCTCTGAGAAAATGGCATCAAAAGTCAGTATCTCGTGTGTCCGCTATGTGCATTGATGACTGCCGTGCAAGGTCGATACATGGAATGGATGAGGCGGTTGATGAAGGCCATAGGCACTTGAGCCTACACTCTGAGGAACGCCTGACGCAGTACAGCTGCAATTGTTGGCCTTGGTCGGGCGTCATTCAGCCGTCTTTGAATCTCGTCCCACAGGTGCTCAATGGGATTTAAATTGGGACTGAGTGCGGCGACGTGCCAAATGAGGTATGGCGTGTGGGCTCAAGACTTGATCAATGTACTGAGCTGCTGTGACACCATTGCCTCTCCAAAGACCGATGTTCTGGAAGACCACAGGACTGACCCTCAGTGCAAGACCAATTCCACACCACACCATGATGCTCGGACCACCCCACGAGTCTCTCTCAACAATACAAGCATCCTGTCGTCGCCGGACTCTCTCTCTTTCTGCCATCTGCTGTTGAGGTACAGTAACGGCTCTCATCTGAGGACTCTTCTCCGCTGCTGGTGCTGTGTTGCTCACTTACCGGTCCCAGCGATGACGTGGTGTCAGAATGGGTGTTCGGTGTGGCCTGTGACAGTGGAGGTGCCTGCTAGTCAATCGTCGACGCACGGTGTCCGCACTAATGTGTCGCTGGTGTGTCTCCATGGTCTGTCGAGTAGTTTCCGCAGCAGTTACAAAGCGATCTTCAAAATGCTGTCGCACAATCTGACGATCCTGACGTCGGGTGGTGACCCTTGGTCTTCCACTACGTGGTTGGTCATCTGTAGTGTTTGTGGTCTGGTACCGTTGCTGGATCCTGTATATAGTAATTAGTGGACTTGAAATGCATTGGCTACTTGCCGGGCGGTTTGTCCAGCTTGCAATCGTTCAAGGGCTTGGTGTCGCTGATTTCTTGTCAATCTTGGCATGTGGTTGCAATTCAATAAGGAATGAATATTATCTGATCTGGGTGGATTTTTATAAGACAAGAAATTGGGGAACGCATGTGCATTTCAATTTGCACGGAACTCGCGTGCATCGGGTTACCATGGCCGTTGCTGTGATGCGTCTGGGCGATCGGTTTTATTGTCATCTGCTTTGTTTTTTTATTATCAAATTTCATTTTTTCGGACAAGGTAATGTTACATTTTAGAAACTTATTTTTTAACAAAAATTACACATATTTAAATGACAACTTTTCATGCAATGTTACATGGGGTGACGTTTCTCTTGTGGTTCAGTATATTTTATGAACAAACAATGTTGGTTGGTCACGTTTCTATTCAATTTAGAAAATACTTTGATATCCTGAGTTTTTTAATACCATCCAGTTCCAGTATATTAACCGAAAACATCGAATTTTTTTTCAATTTACAGAATTAAGCTTTGAAATCCCGAATACCACCCAGTTACATATATTTTGTCAATATACAGACTCTGAGACCATATACTGGTATACGGTCTCTGACAGAATTCACATATACCTTATATATGGTGACAGTGTCTGAGCAGCTTGTAGTGACATTAACGTTGAATGGCAAAATCTTATTACATTTGGAGGGAAGTAATGTTCCAAAACAAATAATAAACAATTTTTGAAAAGAGGAAGATGTTTTTAGATTTCACTATCATGACATGTACAAGGTTTGGATGCATTAATTAAGATTAACTCAGGAGTGGCAAGACTTTGACAACATAGGTGGTATATTACTGGGTGCCGATTTAAACAACAACAAAACATCCTTGTAACTCTGGTGACTTTGACCTGTGACAAGAGTCAATCACAGTACCTACTGATTAGCTTTTCTTGCAACTTTTCACACACACAATTTCCAATTCTGAATAGAAGATAGACAAAGGTTGTATTCCTCACCAATGACATGAAGACAGCTACAATATACACTGTTAATCCCAGTATATAATGAATTGAGAAATAAATGGGCAAAATAGCCCATTGATAATCTTGAATAACTGGTCACAAGTCTCAGAGCTTTTCAGAGAATATTATTTGTAAAGTTGATGGTTCTTGGTGTATTCTCCAGTAGAACAGATCCTTAGTACTCTATTGCTTGTCACAATTGGTTACCAAATTCGATTGGTTGGTCAGGCTAAATGACTTGGTAGAAAGTGGATGATGAATGCATCAATCTGGGATGTGGTTAATAATATCAACCAATGGTTTGTCTGGTCCAGACTAAAACATCAACAGGCCAATCCGATGTACATGGAATATTCCTAAGTGTTCCATTAATCAATGAACAGACAAGTAATGACAAAAAACACAGTTTTCAGGAAGATGCAATTTTATTGCCAAAATGCTCCACTTGTGACAAAGAGAAGCATAAGAAGCACGGTAAGGTACATAGCATAGATGCAAATGTTGACAGCTTAGATGATGGTCAACATGTCAGCCATCAGGTCACAGCACCCACGGGTCATCTCAAACATTACCATGGCATTTAATGTGGATGTAAGAATATGAATACAGGTGTGGTCTAATGATGAAACCTGGTATTATAATCTCTAAATATGTTATACAAACGAGTTCTTTTCTGTAACTGAAAATAACAGTTCCTAAATAGCATGGCAAATTTTGAGACAACCCCCATTGTGAAGAATGAATTTAGGTAATCAGACATATAAATACTATTCTGTGTTCCAGCTAAACACAGTTGACAGGAAAATATCACATCCCAGCTCTCAAATCTGTACAAAATCCATATTTCAATGGTGCATTTTGAACTTCTACCAATATCATAACTACTGCCATGTCACTTCTTACATATCGCCTCAACCATACTTCTAAATCCAGACATGGTCGTAGAACCCTTCCCATTCATATATTTGTATAGGAAATACTGTAGGCCTAAAGGATTCTGTTGAGGAGGTCAGGGACTGGTCATTCTTGATACAGGGTGAGGTACAAAGGCATTCTTGTTCATTGTTTCTCTCCCTGGGACCTAAATCTTACAAATGTTACCAATATGTTAAGATAAAGAGACTTTCCCTTTTATTCTATCCCAACCCCTACCAACCCTTTGGAGATACTGTTCCAATTCTCTCCATCCTCCACTGATATTTATTTGCAAGTCCCTAAAAAGATCTTTTCAGAAATATTAGTTTCATTTTCATGGTTCTTTCAATTGATGACTAACTGTAACTGGATCACATCCAAAACATTATCTACATACAGTCAACCTACTACATTCAACGCAGCTACATGATTCAACAACTCAAACTGACTGTATTGACTTTCACGACTTGGAAGTAAACAATAACATCACATGATTATGGCTTAATGAACACGAAAGAGAACAAATTTGATTGGAACACTAATTTCAACAATATCTTACTTTGGAATACAAGAAGCAATGTCTGAAAGGTTTAGATTGCATAACTATGCTAGGTTTAATCCAGATGTGAAATACTTCATCCCTTTTCAAAAGATAGGAGTACCAGTACTGCATATGAACTTGTTTAGTGTGTAACTGAAAGTACAGCAGGCAATTCTTGGGCATGACAATTTGGACTTTGGTCTAAAAAATCAATAAAAAATCTCCTAAAAGATTAAACATGTTTTTAATCACTCCCAGACATTGAGAGGAGTGCTTCTATTAAGCAGTTTGTTCTAGTCTGACAAATGACATTATCCTCAAACATCAGAAACACAAAACACCTTACAACGAGCTTATACAAAGTATCTCTTTACAATCACCTCTGTATCATATACCTATCTATATGGTTAACAGTGCTTAATCAACACTCATACAAATGCAACTCTTTACATAATCTTTATCATATACCTATCTATTGTTTAACAGTGCTTATTCAATTTTACCTTCTTACAGTCTGCCTTCATCAACATTTATCACAATGAAGGACAAAACTAAACAAATTATGAAAGCATAATAAAATCATATTTCCCTTTCAGTATAAAGCACTGTAATTTGGAAAGAACACAAAACAATTGGAACTTACCAATGCCACATCATCATATCAACACTTTGATTAAACAGCACAAACAATTACTTTTCACTATATTGTAAATCATGGCACTATGAATTATCCACATGCTTGGGTTGAAAATGTTCTCAGAGTGGATATATTTCCTTCAAATACATAGATTAAGATCAGTGACAAGTACTTCATGATAATTATTATTATACAACATCATTGATATACCTCAAGTGCATCAGGTAATAATGAAATGTTATGAATCAACATGGTTGTTAATGTGTACAAGATTTACAAAGGACATGGTTATTGTGAAGAATCTCACTGATGTAGTTTCCTGTCAGTGGATAAGGTATGTATAATGCACAATGGAATACACATAGCAAACTATTAAAATGCATATGGAAATAAGAAATATGCTTATCAACATATACATTATAATGCATAGACAAACATGTGATACGAATTGTAACACACGCCATTGAAAGCTATAGGCATTATACATAAATAATATTACACAACAATGTTAATAACCGCTTAGCAGTGGCTGTCAGTTACACAAAAACAATGATCGACACTATGTGACTAGACTACACATACATGCATCAAATATATAGCCAGCATGTCCCCCCTCCAATAGCAGGGGGTAAATCAGTTTCATGTTGCCGATACTTCTAGCAATGAACCCTCTAAACACAGGACCAACGCAGAAAATGGGAAGTAGGCATCCATGGTATTAGTGCACACCAAAATATTCATTGTATACTACCAAACACATCTACGTAACGAAAATTACATTTGACTCAGTTCAATGAATTTTGAGAAAATATGTTTGCTTTTGCTTGCAATTAACTTAAAGGATATTCCAGATTCCTCGTTATTAATTTCTTTAATAATAAGATCTTGAAGAAGCCAAAATAAGGGACCAGTTCAAAAGTTTGATGTTGGGTAAAAAATTCATTCCTCAAGTTATGAAGCAGACCTCCCCTTACCCCCCAAAAAACTCAGAAAATATTGTCCGGAGTTTCGTGGCCACTTTTGTCATGCATTAATGTGTTTTCCTCTGTTTTTTCAGAATGTTTATCAGCTGAAGTTTATTTACTGTACTAGATGGACTTACCACTATTGCCGGCCATGACAAAACCCTACCTTGTGGAAGACTGGTTGTGTTTGTGAACAGCATAGGAGTGAAAATAGGATCGGTTTAGTTTAGTTACTATATAAAACACTGAGTAATCAGGTAAGGTGATTTTGTCGGATAGAAAACTTGCAGGGCCATCAACCGCCCCCAACCCTACCCCCGCCCACCCCTAAACTTAACTTACAGAATTAAGACTTTTATCTGACATGGAACTTTTAAACTGGTCCCTAATACAGCCACATGCGCCTACTCCATTATTCACCATAATGTCTCAGCATAGTCCAGAATAGTTTGAATGCAAATTATGGGAAAGCAATGTTTCCATAATTGAAGTACGGCTCACATACACTTAAATCCAGCCAGTCAGAGGCTGATCCTTGTTATAGTATTCTCTAACAAGCAGGAGCAAACAACTGAGGAGACGAGACAGCGTTCTCTGAGAATTCCAAAATGAAGACTTTTTTTGAGCTTTGAGTACTTTGGGCAAACCTGAAATATGCGTTAAATAAAAAATCGTAATTAGAGAGCAATAATGCATGTTGTGTGGTCTGCTTGTTAGGTAATAAAGTTGAAAAAACTGTGTATTAAGTCATAATGAGATCTCACCAAAAATAAATGTTTTTTCCCCACTCAATTAACATTAGAGTAGGCAGATCTATGTGACAAATTTATAGAACATATTGGTCATGCTCATCTTTGAAGATGCATATTTCCCAACAGTAGTATACACACTTATCCCAAGTGTCGTCTTCTTTGATAAACAACTAACAAAGCTAGGCTTTAACTGTTTAAAAATGAAAATCAAGTCAGTCAATCACATACAATGACTTACAGCCACATTATAACAAGCAATTAAACCATAACAAGATGCCTCATTTGATGCTGTTAAGCAGAGGACATTGCAACATAAACATAAAACAACATGGGACAGATAGAGACTGGTACTTGTGGCCAATATATCTCGTATTGTTCCCTTAAAATAATCTCTAACACCAAGTGGATATGACTTTCGTGTCAATAGTAATTCGTCCTCCAATGACTTAACATTTCACCTGTGATTGGTCACGAAATGAGAGAGGAATGATAAATATAGCACTGAAGCATGAACACTCCGAGAACAAAGTCCCCTTTGTAGGACACACAATAACACAAACTGGACACAAAGAGGACTACACAAATCAATGTTTACCTTTGTCCTTGTCTATGATCTAACATATCTTTATGGCTAAACTCCTGCATACACACTGCTAGAATTCATTTGTTTTGCATGCAAAATGGCAAAAAAACATTTTTTCTAAAGTCACTTATTTTGCAATGCTCGCATGTGAAAGAATTACCGTATTTGCTGTAATAAGCATCTTGGGTGCCTAGATATTGACCGGGGCACTTATAAATAACATATATAACTTCAATATGTTTTCAGAGATCGAGATGCAGTAAACAAATCTATTATTCAAATTATAAAAAATCTATAATGCAAACAAGAAAATATGGACCATCCAGTACATTTTCTATCTTGGATGGGAGGGTTTACAAGATAACTGACAGATTGGTCTGGGATTGGGTCAGGGGGCGCTTATTGGAGCAGGGCGCTTCCTACGGCAAATATGGTAGTCTGGAGGGTCGGCGAGAAAAAAACTAAATGCAATTTTTCAATTTCTCAGCTTTGTATGTGGTAGGGCAGGAGAGCCATAGAGTCATGATCCCAAACAGAATGAGCTAAAGAGGGCAGAAATGTTATGCAGTCAGCAACAAAAGAGATGGGACTCCCATTTCCAATTTTCCCCTTCATTTGGTATTTTTAAGAGACCCAAGTGTTTGAGATATTGTCTTTTGCTAAAATTGTTATACAGCTGCCATGTCCAGCTTCCAGGAATACCTGAATGATAGTATCACTAACAGTGTGCCTTTTATCTTCTGAACGTATCCAATATGATAGACATTTATTTGCAGGGTCAGCAATAGCACAGTATCGCTTACGCATATTACACATTCCCAGCCTTTTGATTTGTTTAGAAACTGAAACTAGCTAGCCCTTGTCCCTAAGATTAACGGAAAATGATACTCTTTCATACTGAAGTCATGTCATGATTTCCCTTCTTTCTGAGGTGACATAATGTAACAATGCCAGACATATATATTCTCAAACAGAAACTCCAAACATATTTTGAAAGTAAGAAAATTAAATATCCTTGATTGACATACCGGTACTTCTTTCACATCTTTCTGAGTTCACATTTTTGTAAACGATTATATTTTTGCTTACAGAAACTTAACTTTTAACCAAATGAATCGTAATTACATTATTAACAAATAAACGATTGACCACAAAAAATATATTGGTCTGGCTTTAGAAACACAAAGTAACTGCTTAAGATGACCTATTACGGTGTCAGCATTCCACATTTACCCAGTACTCGTGCGAAATCATGAGAACCTTGATTCCGGGAGCTGATTGTACTCCTGGAATCTACAGATTCAACTGATTTCTGAGACTTCAACCATGCTTTGGTTGACACATAATCTCTCTATAATTTTGCATAATGATGTGTGGTTGCATCAGGGTTAATTATTTAAAATGCACATTCAGAATGGCCAGTAAAGCCCCGGCTCAGAGTGAACGGCAAGAACAATCGTGTGGCATCATCATAATGGTTCATAACATGGGAGCACACCCTTCATCTGGCTCTTGGACTGATACTTCGCCCTACTTGCTACATAAACTTACATTCTTGCCAAACAGGACAAGTAACAAGACAATGATTATCAGATTAAGATATGTATAAAGATTTGCTTGTATTTTTCTCTCCTGTAGAAGGGTGCATGTAAATCCAGATGATGTAATTATAAGCAATAGACATCCAAGTGGTTTTAAAGGTATATGTTGAACGGACAGAAACGTGTAAAATGTAAACTAAACGCAAAATAACGGTGAAATTTGGAAGTTGTATTTTTGTGGTTTGAAATTGTGTACAAAGGAATAAAATAGATGAAATCACAGCAGACAATGCCATAATAAGCACAAGATAATCATGAGTATGTGACTTATTGTACGTACTTTCAACTTGAAACACATATAACATCTAATGCCATGCTTGAAAGACATTTATATACCATTATCATTTTAAGAGTATATAATTGTGACAAGTATAAGTTATTTTCAGATTCCTTGCAACAAATCATAATAAGTTTATGAATGTGATACAAATATCATACAAATGGTGGATGTTTTCAAAATGAAGTTGGGTCATCCCACATCCTCATCATGGTATGGTGTCTCAAAAGGTATGCTGTGTTACAGACATTGTCTAGTACAGAGGGATCGAAAATAAATAAGACCTTATTCCACACACAAACAAGACAGTTGTTGTCAAGACAAAAATGAACGCAACATTGAACTATATATTTCAAATTGAATCAGGGTATACAATGGTAAGACTAATGATATAAAACTTACATTCAATTTGCCTGGTAGTTCACAGTCAGTGCTCGAAACTAAGAATGAAAGTCACGGGGTCCTTAACTGTTGTAATCCTATTTTAAATATAACAGATCACTATGGGAACAAACTTCTAGTGCCCCAGGCTCCACTTAATTTGGAACATTGACAGTGTATGGTCCATACAGATCTAAACTAGCTTCAAACATGCAGAATTGCATTGAACAATGATAGCCTCCCCTAAAACATCGAAGCCATGAGAGACATGATATCATCCTATAAAATTAAGTTTACATCATATATATTTCCTATTCAGCAGTTAATATGTGCGTTGAAAAACATTAAACAATTTGAGAAAAAGATTGCAGTTGCTTCCTTTGCTGAGACAATCATTATTTGCTACACTGTCAAACTAGTGGTAGGTGTGACTTATATTTTTAATCACTCCACACTGAAAAAATAAACACATACCTCAGCAAATATTGATAATTTACAACTAAGAATAGTATTTATGAAACTTAAATCTTTTGAATAATACCGTGGTTAATTGTTTGTTCAAAAATATGATAAAACTTTAGAAAATCTAACATGCAAGCAGAATAATACAATCAGTAATTCAACAGATAAATAGTCATGTAACTGTCTTAACCACCTAATTGTTATACTTGAACAAGAAAAATTAGTTCAAAATGCATCTAAGAATAGTTATAGCAATTCATAATAGGCCAAATGAGTCATAAATGACTGACACTTAAGTTCTCTTCAGTCTGAGTTCAGAATTACATGTATCCAAGGGAGATAATCCACATTAATGGGAGGTAATCCAATCAGACAAGCTGTGGTTGGGATCCTGTGACTTCTATGATATCTGACTGCTTCAACTGATGAAGACTGAGACTGGTCTTCTTTAAACCATTGCCTGTATTGTTTTGTACACATTCATCTATGCCTTGACACATCAGCCTATCATCATACAGAGAAAATCGCCCCTTCTTCATATTCACTGGCGTTTTGATACGCTTCTTGATTTTTTCACTGGGATCTGAGTTTTCATCAGGCGGTTTCAGGGCAACATTTGGTGCTGAACTGCCCATGCTAGTAGGTCCAACTACGACATAAGGATTTGGTTGTGAAGCATAGTTATGTCCACGCAACGACAGAGAAGTTGGACGTCTCTTCTGTCCATCAGCAATGTCATATAATTTAGTCTCCTGCCACCTTGACTTGCCATTATGTGCAGGGCTCAAGTCTGATGTGCTCTTTGACTGCCCGGTGCCTTTCAGTCGGACAACAGACTGCTGTCCAACACTGGAGTTTTTGAGTTTTGCCACCCCTACTTCTGCAAATCCCAGTCTGTTTTCAGGGTACCTCCCCTCCGATGAGGACCCTGCGGCCTCACTCTGCCTGTGAGCCAAGGGCATCTCCTGCAGGGCCAGATTACTGGGGCGGACAAACGCGTGACCATTTTGTAAGCATATTTCTGTCTGCACTGGTTGCACCACTGTCTTGGGCAGCGTATTTGCCTGATTCAGGAGACCAGAGCTGTCCTCATTGACACTGTGATTTGATTGGCTGTGATCCTGTTCCAGATTCATCGAACTTTGATTACGTGAATTACTCTTGAGTCCGAAGAAATTCCAGGAACTTAGTTTTAAGCCAAGTTCTTTCGGTTTGATAAATTTACCAATTTTTTCACGAAGAGATTTTCCCTCATTAAGATGTCTATATGGAACTCCGTTCCCGGGCACATTGGCAACTTTGGGTCGAACTGCAGGGACTTGAACCTGATTCTGTAAGTAGGGAATTGGCGGATTTCTATGCTGGTTCAGGGCATCATTCTGAACCAAGGATGTCTCTAGGTTGTCACCGACAGAGTCATATGTGTTCTCGCTCAACTGATTCACACTGGCCACCTCCATCCCTGGCCCGAGCAGTGTGTTGCCGGAGACGGCCAGCTCCTCATCACTTCGCTTGTGGGTGTTCCTCGCCACAGTAGGGTTCCGACCCTGGTGGGGCTGCAGGATTACATTGTTTCTGGCCATTGTGATGTTGTTTGATTTTGGTGGAGGATCTGATTCACTTGGTGTGATTGGAACAACAGTCTCCGTGGTGGATGCGGACACACTCCGATCCTGGTACCAGCTTCTGTGGTTTTGACTATAGTTTGGAATTTCTCCATTTCTGACAACACCATTTCCCAAGAGAGGTGCACTGCTGTTCTCTGTGGGAGAGCTTACAGAGGATCGATAGTCGACCATGTTGGCAGCATACAGATCTACGTTGTGACTTTGATCATGATTCAGTCCCTGTGAGGATTTCCCCAAGTAGTCCTGCGAGGTGATGTTCACTGTGGGGTTGATGGTTGGTGTAACACCTGGCGGAAGAAATAACAGTGAGTGAGTTAGACGTTTTTATGATGTAGTTTGTATCACCACAGTCTCAAATACAAAATCTGGCCTGTAACAGACAAACCGACGGCTGATGATGTGTTACAATGTCACACTAAATCAGCTTCTTGGTCCATGTAGACATACCTCTGTGTCCTGTGCCCATATGGACATACCTCTGTGTCCTGTGCCCATATAGACATACCTCTGTGCCCGGTGCCAACATAGACATACCTCTGTGTTTTGTGTCCTGTGCCCATGTAGACATACCTCTGTGTCCTGTGCCCATGTAGACATACCTCTGTGTCCTTTGCCCATGTAGACAAACCCCTGTGTCCTGTGCCCATGTAGACATATCTCTGTGCACTGTGCCCATGTAGACATATCTCTGTGCCCTGTGCCCATGTAGACATACCTTTGTGCCCTGTGCCCTGTGCCCATGTAGACATATCTCTGTGCCCTGTGCCCATGTAGACAAACCTCTGTGCTCTGTGCCCATGTAGACATACCTCTGTGTCCTGTGCCCATGTAGACATACCCCTGTGCCCATGTAGACATACCTCTGTGCCCATGTAGACATACCCCTGTGCCCTGTGCCCATGTAGACATACCTCTGTGCCCTGTGCCCATGTAGACATACCCCTGTGTCCTGTGCCCATGTAGACATATCTCTGTGCACTGTGCCCATGTAGACATATCTCTGTGCCCTGTGCCCATGTAGACATACCTGTGTCCTGTGCCCAGTTAGACATACCTGTGTCATGTGCCAATGTAGACATACCTCTGTGCCCTGTGCCCATGTAGACATACCTCTGTGCCCTGTGCCCATGTAGACATACCTATGCCCTGTGCCCATGTAGACATATCTCTGTGCCCTGTGCCCATGTGGACATATCTCTGTGCTCTGTGCCCATGTAGACATATCTCTGTGTCCTGTGCCCATGTAGACATACCTCTGTGTCCATGTAGACATACCTCTGTGCCCTGTGCCCATGTAGACATACCTCTGTGCCCTGTGCCCATGTAGACATACCCCTGTGTCCTGTGCCCATGTAGACATACCCTGTGTCCTGTGCCCATGTAGACATACCTCTGTGCCCTGTGCCCATGTAGACATACCTCTGTGCCCTGTGCCCATGTAGACATATCTCTGTTCACTGTGCCCATGTAGACATACCTCTGTGCCCTGTGCCCATGTAGACATACCTCTGTGTCCTGTGCCCATGTAGACATACCCCTGTGCCCATGTAGACATACCTCTGTGCCCATGTAGACATACCCCTGTGTCCTGTGCCCATGTAGACATACCTCTGTGCCCTGTGCCCATGTAGACATACCCCTGTGTCCTGTGCCCATGTAGACATATCTCTGTGCACTGTGCCCATGTAGACATATCTCTGTGCCCTGTGCCCATGTAGACATACCTGTGTCCTGTGTCCAGTTAGACATACCTGTGTCATGTGCCAATGTAGACATACCTCTGTGCCCTGTGCCCATGTAGACATACCTCTGTGCCCTGTGCCCATGTAGACATACCTATGCCCTGTGCCCATGTAGACATATCTCTGTGCCCAGTGCCCATGTAGACATACCTCTGTGCCCTGTGCCCATGTCGACATACCTCTGTGTCCTGTGCCCATGTAGACATACCCCTGTGCCCATGTAGACATACCTCTGTGCCCATGTAGACATACCCCTGTGTCCTGTGCCCATGTAGACATACCTCTGTGCCCTGTGCCCATGTAGACATACCCCTGTGTCCTGTGCCCATGAAGACATATCTCTGTGCACTGTGCCCATGTAGACATATCTCTGTGCCCTGTGCCAATGTAGACATACCTGTGTCCTGTGCCCAGTTAGACATACCTGTGTCATGTGCCAATGTAGACATACCTCTGTGTCCTGTGCCCATGTAGACATACCTCTGTGCCCTGTGCCCATGTAGACATACCCCTGTGTCCTGTGCCCATGTAGACATATCTCTGTGCACTGTGCCCATGTAGACATATCTCTGTGCCCTGTGCCCATGTAGACATACCTGTGTCCTGTGTCCAGTTAGACATACCTGTGTCATGTGCCAATGTAGACATACCTCTGTGCCCTGTGCCCATGTAGACATACCTCTGTGCCCTGTGCCCATGTAGACATACCTATGCCCTGTGCCCATGTAGACATATCTCTGTGCCCAGTGCCCATGTAGACATACCTCTGTGCCCTGTGCCCATGTAGACATACCTCTGTGTCCTGTGCCCATGTAGACATACCCCTGTGCCCATGTAGACATACCTCTGTGCCCATGTAGACATACCCCTGTGTCCTGTGCCCATGTAGACATACCTCTGTGCCCTGTGCCCATGTAGACATACCCCTGTGTCCTGTGCCCATGAAGACATATCTCTGTGCACTGTGCCCATGTAGACATATCTCTGTGCCCTGTGCCCATGTAGACATACCTGTGTCCTGTGCCCAGTTAGACATACCTGTGTCATGTGCCAATGTAGACATACCTCTGTGCCCTGTGCCCATGTAGACATACCTCTGTGCCCTGTGCCCATGTAGACATACCTATGCCCTGTGTCCATGTAGACATATCTCTGTGTCCTGTGCCCATGTAGACATACCTCTGTGTCCATGTAGACATACCTCTGTGCCCTGTGCCCATGTAGACATACCTCTGTGCCCTGTGCCCATGTAGACATACCCCTGTGTCCTGTGCCCATGTAGACATACCCTGTGTCCTGTGCCCATGTAGACATACCTCTGTGCCCTGTGCCCATGTAGACATACCTCTGTGCCCTGTGCCCATGTAGACATATCTCTGTGCACTGTGCCCATGTAGACATACCTCTGTGCCCTGTGCCCATGTAGACATACCTCTGTGTCCTGTGCCCATGTAGACATACCCCTGTGTCCTGTGCCCATGTAGACATACCCCTGTGCCCTGTCCCCATGTAAACATACCTCTGTGCCCATGTAGACATACCTCTGTGTCCTGTGCCCATGTAGACATACCCCTGTGCCCATGTAGACATATCCCTGTGTCCTGTGCCCATGTAGACATACCTCTGTGCCCATGAAGACAAACCTCTGTGCTCTGTGCCCATGTAGACATACCCCTGTGCCCTGTGCCCATGTAGACAAACCTCTGTGCTCTGTGCCCATGTAGACATACCTCTGTGTCCTGTGCCCATGAAGACATACCTCTGTGTCCTGTGCCCATGTAGACATACCTCTGTGCCCATGTAGACATACCTCTGTGTCCTGTGCCCATGTAGACATACCCCTGTGCCCTGTGCCCATGTAGACATACCCCTGTGCCCTGTGCCCATGTAGACATACCTCTGTGCCCATGTAGACATACCTCTGTGTCATGTGCCCATGTAGACATACCTCTGTGTCCATGTAGACATACCTCTGTGTCCTGTGCCCATGTAGACATACCCCTGTGCCCTGTGCCCATGTAGACATACCTCTGTGCCCTGTGCGCATGTAGACATACCCCTGTGTCCTGTGCCCATGTAGACATACCTTTGTGCCCTGTGCGCATGTAGACATACCTCTGTGCCTTGTGACCATGTAGACATACCTCTGTTTTGTGCCCTGTGCCAATGCAGACATACCCCTGTGTCCTTCGACCATGTAGACATACCTCTGTGCCCTGTGCCAATGTAGACATACCTCTGTGCCCTGTGCCAATGTAGACATACCTCTGTGCCCTGTGCCCATGTAGACATACCTCTGTGCCCTGTGCCAATGTAGACATACCCCTGTGTCCTGTGTCCTGTGCCTATGTAGACATACCTCTGTGCCCTGTGCCAATGTAGACATACCTCTGTGCCCTGTGCCCATGTAGACATACCTTTGTGCCCTGTGCCAATGTAGACATACCTCTGTGCCCTGTGCCAATGTAGACATACCTCTGTGCCCTGTGCCCATGTAGACATACCTCTGTGTTTTGTGTCCTGTGCCCATGTAGACATACCTCTGTGTCCTGTGCCCTGTGCCCATGTAGACATACCTCTGTGTCCATGTAGACATACCTCTGTGTCCTGTGCCCATGTAGACATACCCCTGTGCCCTGTGCCCATGTAGACATACCCCTGTGCCCTGTGTCCATGTAGACATACCTCTGTGCCCATGTAGACATACCTCTGTGTCCTGTGCCAATGTAGACATACCTCTGTGCCCATGTAGACATACCTCTGTGTCCTGTGCCCATGTAGACATACCCCAGTGCCCTGTGCCCATGTAGACATAACTCTGTGCCCTGTGCGCATGTAGACATACCCCTGTGTCCTGTGCCCATGTAGACATACCTTTGTGCCCTGTGCGCATGTAGACATACCTCTGTGCCTTGTGACCATGTAGACATACCTCTGTTTTGTGCCCTGTGCCAATGTAGACATACCTCTGTGTCCTTCGACCATGTAGACATACCCCTGTGTCCTGTGTCCTGTGCCCATGTAGACATACCTCTGTGCCCTGTGCCCATGTAGACATACCTTTGTGCCCTGTGCCAATGTAGACATACCTCTGTGCCCTGTGCCCATGTAGACATACCTCTGTGTTTTGTGTCCTGTGCCCATGTAGACATACGTCTGTGCCCGGTGCCCATGTAGACATACCTCTGTGTTTTGTGTCCTGTGCCCATGTGGTCATCAGGTCTGAGATTCTTTCCTCCACACAGAGGGCAGTCAGTCGTGCCTCAGCATCAGGGTCCCAGCAATCTTCTATTGTCTCTTTCAGGCATCGAACAGCCTGCAACAGTATTATTTCACATGATAAAGTAAACACTCTAGGTTCGTCTTTAATTCCAAAAACTTTTCCTTGTTAAGTGTATGAATGAGACAGTGTATTTGAGACACCAAATATATATTTCTCATTGTACCATCAACCTTGTGTCTTCAACATGACGCCTGAACGCTTTAAACACCAGATTCACTTCATTGAGTGTTTGTAGTAACCCAACTTTTCAGAGACAGACAAACCAGTGAGTGATATCTTGAGCAACGTCCAACCATGTCAGTGTATGATGACACACAATCAACCAAGTCATGGAGCCTGACCATGTTGTCGTCTCGTACAAGGACATGTTAGTAGGGGCCTATACAAAACAGGAATCTCCATGGGGGAGTGTGAGACTGCTTGATTGATGAGCATTATTTCTGTAAGCATATACAATATTCATAGCTTCTGTAGGGCCTCTGTTTCAAAGGGGAGAAGAGTATTCTTTAAGTCTCACTCTTCACATTGACCAGAGTGGTTCATGTACCATTAAGACTCAAACTTGAGTAGACGAAGAACAGGACATGTATCCCAGACTTCAGCGTGCCACCTCAAATTCCCCGAGTCCCATGAAGCTGGCTCTGTTATCCATATAATCAACACAAACGCTTTCCATTCATTCGGTGTCTATTGTGTTTGTTTTTGTGTTGCTTTCCTTTAATATTGTGTTTGTTTTTGTGTTGCTTTCCTTTAAATTTTTATTGCATGTAGATCATTCTCACAATTACACGAAAAGCGTATGATGTTGACTAGAACTTTTATCAATGTTGCTGGAAGTTGTGTTTGTTGGAATCCTTGTTGGGAAGTAAAGAAAAATGTGTTCATCCCTCATCTCTTTTGTGTTCAATAAAAATAATATAAAGTCCTCCCCTTTAAGATAAATGTGCAGCCTTACCAATTCTTAGTGGACCCAAATTAATCCGAAATAAGTTACAGTCATAGTTGAACTGAGATGCACACAAACACACACATTTCAATAAATACTAGATTTGTTAGTAATTTACCATCAGAGGCTACAGACCGTCAATGGACAACAAGTGTCATTTGAGCTCTACTTGTCAATAGCTTTTCATCTGTACAAATGTAAACATGACTAGAGAGACTGCAGTGGCTCTGTCACACACCTGGTTTGTGTCTTTCCATACATCAGGGAAACGAGGCCTTCTTTTTCTGCGGGTAACAAGGAGCTGCATGTCTTCAAATGAGGGATGAGGACCAGCCTCAGCCTGATACGGCAACATATATTCTGGAACAGGTGCCCCTTTAACAAAGCATAATAACATTGCTCAGTAGACTGCCTCAGCCTGATATGGCAACATATATTCTGGAACAGGTGCCCCTTTAACAAAGCATAATAACATTGGTCAGGAGACTGACCTCAGCCTGATATGGCAACATATATATTCTGGAACAGGTGCCCCTTTAACAAAACATAATAACATTGCTAATGAGACTGCCTCAGCCTGATATGGCAACATATATTCTGGAACAGGTGCCCCTTTAACAAAACATAATAACATTGCTTAGGAGGCTGACCTCAGCCTGATATGGCAACATATAATTTGGAACAGGTGCCCCTTTAACAAAACATAATAACATTGCTTAGGAGGCTGACCTTAGCCTGATATGGCAACATATAATTTGGAACAGGCGCCCCTTTAACAAAACATAACATTGCTCAGGAGACTGACCTCAGCCTAATATGGCAACATATAATTTGGAACAGGTGCCCCTTTAACAAAGCATAATAACATTGCTTAGGAGGCTGCCTCAGCCTGATATGGAAACATATCTTCTGGAACAGGTGCCCTTTTAACAAAGCATAATAACATTGGTCAGTAGACTGCCTCAGCCTGATATGGCAACATATAATTTGGAACAGGTGCCCCTTTAACAAAACATAATAACATTGCTTAGGAGGCTGACCTCAGCCTGAGCATGCTGATATGCAAACATATATATTCTGGAACAGCTGCCCTTTTGACAAAATATGTCAGAGACTCCTGCAATCCTGATACAGAAATGTATTTCTAGAACAGGTACCCCTTCAACAAAACAAAACACCACTACTTAAGACCGTGGTGTCAGCATCAATTTATCAGTCGATGTTACTTCGTTTTTTCCATGTGACAAGACACATGGTTGGGCTGTCATAATCCAATCTTATTAGACTGAAAGAAACTTGACTAGACCCAGGCTTCGAACAAGTGGGAAAGGTTGCAGACTGTGACATGGATACATGTATTCTGGAACAAGCTGCACCTAAACACAAGCTGAAGCCTACTTACATTTATCCAACCCTTGACAAAATTAAGACTTCGTCAAAAAATAATACTTACCCTGGTATAAATCTGTACATCTCATGGATATTTCCCACAAAACCAGGCCAATAGAATAAATATCTATCTGTTTTAATGAAGCTTCACAGTCGCGAAGGTTGACAGCACCATCAAGCAGCTCAGGTGCCATATAGCGTATTGTCCCAACCTGGATGACATAACATCAACAACATAGCACATTGGTCACTATTGGAATGAGTGAGTGAGTGAGTATGGTCTTACGCCGCTTTTAGCAATATTCCAGCAATATCACGGCGGGGGACACCAGAAATGGGCTTCACACATTGTACCCATGTCGGGAATTGAACCCGGGTCTTCGGCGTGACGAGCGAACGCTTTAACCACTAGGCTACCCGACCGCCCCACTAATGGAATGAACACTGAAACATGGAAAACCATCACTAGACAAAACCAAAATCTATACCACTCCACTTTCGACTGGATATTTTTATCTTTCCACATGAAACACTGATTCTCATAATATGTCTAGTGTAGACAGAAATACACAACTGATTATCCCTATCCAAAGTTCAGTAGTATACATAATTCATGACATTCAGATAAGACTGCTTAATGTGGGAGGAAGGTTTTGGTGAAACTCCTGAGCACAGGTATGGTGACGACAAACCTAAAAACATAATCGGGACAAACCGGGAGTTATTAAACCAAGAGTATTATTCTCCAACATTTATTATGAGTGTTATGACATGAACCCCTGGCGTTTCATGCCAAATTTCAACAGGTATTACTTACATCTGTTAGTGTTGACTGTTCGGCATTTTCTGCATGGCCATTTTTAATGAGTTTGGAGCCCATGATAGGCATGCAAAATCCCAGATCTGCGATGACACAAGTCAGATCTCCCTTCACCAGGATGTTCCTTGTGTTGATGTCGCGGTGAGCTACTGCAGGCTTGAACTTGTCTGTAATTGAATAAACACTTGTGTAAGTTGTAATAGAAACATCATCAAATAGCAAACATGCCTGGATAAAATAATTTGGCATAGAACATTTGGATATAAAATAACAAATCAGGCAAAAGCTTGGATTCTGCATAAATGCTCTCATTGCTTATTTGTCAAAAACAAATTGTGTCTTCAATGAAAATTCCTGAATCTCTAGCAGAAGGGATTGTCTTTTTGAAAAGTATAACAGGATATAGATATTTGCCAATACGTTACACTGCATTCGAATTATTCATAAATGCTTAGTTTATTAAAATCATTTCTATACATTCAAAATTTGTGAAGTTGTTCTCAATGTTGATGGTATGATGAAATTGCCAGTTTTTGTAATGAGAGATTTTAAAGGCAAAAAATACAGAAGTCCATATTATGAAGCATTCAAAACAACATCAAAACCTCTTTTTCTTTGTACTGTTTGTTTAAATATTTTTTTTGTTTCAGTACATTTAATCTATTCTGGCCATTGCATTTGTGTTAGCTTCTGATTCTTGAATACTCTTACACTGGCCTGACTTGAAAGCAGATCATCAACACAATAGCTATGGTCAGAGACAGCCTCATTAAAGTAAATTTACTTTCAAACTGCTTTAAACAGTATTCCAGTTACATCTTGGCGTGTCAGCTTAATGTGGGAGGAAAGCCTAAAGTGATGCAGGTCTCATACGTTTACCACCTTGGTGAAACACACGAGCACGGGTATGGTGCTGACAAACCTAGAAACATAATCGAGGGGAACCAGGATTCGAACCCATGATCATAGGTTTCTGGCATACCCAAGGGATGCAACTCTACAGAGCATAATATAAGATCGATCAAGCAATCAGAATTAGGGACTAACCAACAAGCTACACAATTAATTCACAAGGGACACTTAATCTCAATCTCATTAAAATCAGATCTTAGTTCTCGCTATTGCTAAACAAAGATCTGAGGACATCCCATTACGGGTCATGTCAGAACGACCTTTCATCCAACCAATCGGGGCGTCGCTTACCAGGTCATGAAAGTGACAGTCAGAATGTGTTTTCTTATCATGCAACCACGAAATATTTAACATGGGGTATTCCGAACGACAGTTACGGGTTTTATGATTATATCCATACAATCTAGGCCATCTATAAGCCATTCCAGAATTTTCTTCTTATCAGTTTTAATCTTTTTAATCTAGAATACATAAAAATGTGTTTCGAAGCGTAGTCGTCAGTTTGAAGCTAGTGTCGTAAAGCTTGAGAAAGCTGCCTTCTGATTGGCTAATGTTGATTTCTTGTCAGTCATTTCATCGGTCGGTCAAAATTCGTGAAAGGTCGTTCTGATGTGATCCGTAATGGGATGTCCTCAGATCTTTGTTTTGTGGTAGCGAGAACTAAGATCTGATTTTAATGAGATTGCACTTAATGTTATTCTGTGTATTATGCATTCTTATTATCAGAAATAAATATATAAAAAATGGTATTTAAGCGAGATAATATTGAATGTGATGTTTTAAGCCCATGTCACCTCACCTCAGCATATCTCTCTCGATTTAACAGTTCTGTTATGCTAATAGGATATGAAATTTATCAGTTCGACATTGGAAAATGAACAACCATTTCTCATTTGAAAAGTTATATTTAGTTAAAATCCTGACCACCATATTTCCTGGCCACACACCAAGACTCTCCATACCGACATCCGTCATTGGAAAACGAGGAAACTTAAAAAAAGAATCCACAAAAGAAGCCAGCCATGAAAAGAGACTAAGGTATCTGCCTTCCCACTGTGTACTCCACTGTGCCATAATCACATCATCAACCACAATGGACATCTTGATTGCCTCGTTGCTTGTGTCACAATAGCCAGCCCTGTCATCAGTGCACCTTCAGTGTACTTAATTAATCCTCTCCTATTAACCTCATTGGCTTTGTCATCATATTGTTATCTTCGTAAGTCCCGTCATTGGCTTTGTCATTATATTGTTATCTTCGTAAGTTCCGTCATTGGCTTTGTCATCATATTGTTATCTTTGTAAATCCAGTCATTGGCTTTGTCATCATATTGTTATCTTCGTAAATCCAGTCATTGGCTTTGTCATCATATTGTTATCTTCGTAAATCCAGTCATTGGCTTTGTCATCATATTGTTATCTTCGTAAATCCAGTCATTGGCTTTGTCATCATATTGTTATCTTTGTAAGTCCTGTCATTGGCTTTGTCATCATATTGTTATCTTTGTAAGTCCAGTCATTGGCTTTGTCATCATATTGTTATCTTTGTAAGTCCTGTCATTGGCTTTGTCATCATATTGTTATCTTTGTAAGTCCAGTCATTGGCTTTGTCATCATATTGTTATCTTCGTAAGTCCTGTCATTGGCTTTGTCATCATATTGTTATCTTCGTAAGTCCTGTCATTGGCTTTGTCATCATATTGTTATCTTTGTAAGTCCAGTCATTGGCTTTGTCATCATATTGTTATCTTCGTAAGTCCAGTCATTGGCTTTGTCATCATATTGTTATCTTTGTAAGTCCAGTCATTGGCTTTGTCATCATATTGTTATCTTTGTAAGTCCCGTCATTGGCTTTGTCATCATATTGTTATCTTCGTAAGTCCTGTCATTGGCTTTGTCATCATATTGTTATCTTCGTAAGTCCAGTCATTGTCTTTGTCATCATATTGTTATCTTTGTAAGTCCAGTCATTGGCTTTGTCATCATATTGTTATCTTCGTAAGTCCCGTCATTGGCTTTGTCATCATATTGTTATCTTCGTAAGTCCCGTCATTGTCTTTGTCATCATATTGTTATCTTTGTAAGTCCAGTCATTGGCTTTGTCATCATATTGTTATCTTCGTAAGTCCCGTCATTGGCTTTGTCATCATATTGTTATCTTCGTAAGTCCTGTCATTGGCTTTGTCATCATATTGTTATCTTCGTAAGTCCAGTCATTGGCTTTGTCATCATATTGTTATCTTCGTAAGTCCCGTCATTGGCTTTGTCATCATATTGTTATCTTCGTAAGTCCTGTCATTGGCTTTGTCATCATATTGTTATCTTCGTAAGTCCAGTCATTGGCTTTGTCATCATATTGTTATCTTCGTAAGTCCCGTCATTGGCTTTGTCATCATATTGTTATCTTTGTAAGTCCTGTCATTGGCTTTGTCATCATATTGTTATCTTTGTAAGTCCAGTCATTGGCTTTGTCATCATATTGTCATCTTCGTAAGTCCTGTCATTGGCTTTGTCATCATATTGTTATCTTTGTAAGTCCAGTCATTGGCTTTGTCATCATATTGTTATCTTCGTAAGTCCAGTCATTGGCTTTGTCATCATATTGTTATCTTCATAAGTCCCGTCATTGGCTTTGTCATTATATTGTTATCTTTGTAAGTCCTGTCATTGGCTTTGTCATCATATTGTTATCTTTGTAAGTCCAGTCATTGTCTTTGTCATCATATTGTTATCTTCGTAAGTCCAGTCATTGGCTTTGTCATCATATTGTTATCTTCGTAAGTCCCGTCATTGGCTTTGTCATTATATTGTTATCTTTGTAAGTCCTGTCATTGGCTTTGTCATCATATTGTTATCTTTGTAAGTCCAGTCATTGGCTTTGTCATCATATTGTTATCTTCGTAAGTCCTGTCATTGGCTTTGTCATCATATTGTTATCTTTGTAAGTCCAGTCATTGGCTTTGTCATCATATTGTTATCTTCGTAAGTCCAGTCATTGGCTTTGTCATCATATTGTTATCTTCGTAAGTCCTGTCATTGGCTTTGTCATCATATTGTTATCTTCGTAAGTCCAGTCATTGGCTTTGTCATCATATTGTTATCTTCGTAAGTCCTGTCATTGGCTTTGTCATCATATTGTTATCTTTGTACGTCCAGTCATTGGCTTTGTCATCATATTGTTATCTTCGTAAGTCCAGTCATTGGCTTTGTCATCATATTGTTATCTTCGTAAGTCCTGTCATTGGCTTTGTTATCATATTGTTATCTTCGTAAGTCCAGTCTTTGGCTTTGTCATTATATTGTTATCTTTGTACATTCATCCCACCTTGTATTGTGTAAACCGGTATATATCATGATCAATATATAAATATATTAACTTTATGCACTAACTAAGCATTCACCTGATGTTGGAGTGAGAAGCAGCTCTGAAATGTCGTGACAAAGAGTAAAAGAAGTTGCTATCTATAGAAATATGCTGTATTTATATTTAGTTCTTGTTAACTCTGTTCTGCAATACTTTCAGCTCCAATAGTTTCACCCTGTCTAGCAATAATTGTCTTCATAAGTCATGACATTTATTCTTGTTTCTCTGAGAAACATCAGTGAAGACTTTGATGGCATGTCTGATTACAGTTAGAAGTGGGCTTGCTACATTATACATTAACTCTCCACTTTCAACTCATAACATAACATTATCTCCAGTTTGTAAAAGAAACAAGAAAACATCTTTAGAATTTGAGTTGTTTACGTCAATGCTGATTTTTGAAAAGCATGCACTTCAAACAGAATGCACAAAATCTACAGCATGGAGAAAGGGAGAGTGACTCCTGAAAAAATAATAATTACGGCATCAATTTTTTAACTTAGCCTTGACAAGTATGTCTTAGATAAGCATGCAAAGTTTTATTCATGTAACTTCAGAGTTCCTGAGAAAACTTATTCCAAGACAAAACATATTTTGCAGGAAGTACCCAAACACCAAAAGGCACTAGCTCAGTAGGTGTTTGATGGACAAAGCTGATTCTAATTCTGCTTCAACAGTGATTGTTTGGCTTCAGTTTCCCACCTCGAAATCTGTCACAGATTCCGAGACCAAAAATATTTCCAATTACACTGCAGTGAATTTATTGGGTTACAATGAAGCCGAGCCCAACACCTCAAGAGCTGTCTCATTAGGCCACAATTAATTATTAATTAGATTTTCAGCCAAACTTGTAAGAAACGTAAGGTGGGAGGTATCTGTTTTTTCTTCATAAAAAAAACTATTCATCAGAAATTAACTGAAGGAGGTGGTTCACTAGACTTGCACAAGTCTCTAAAGCAATAATTATTAAATCATAATTTCTAGATCATGTAAATAATAAGAACAAGTTGTCCCTATAAAAGACTGGAGTCTTAGATGTACTGACCATATATCTAGACTTGCCTATTAGGAGGATAGAATTACGACACATCCATCGACTTATCCTTCAGTACAGCCTTGAAGCAAGGCTAGTGGTTTCCAACACGCATGAGTATGTGGTTGGACTATTTATAGGGTGTATTCACAGAGGAAAGAAAGAGGGCACACCACAATGATGTGACAAGCAGTGCTTGGTAGTAAGGCAGACAGGGCTGACATGTAATTAATTATGTATTTTGGCTTAATAGACAACCTTCAAGGAGGCCTAGTGCTATTGCTATGTTTCCAATGGGTTTTTTGCCTATCGCCAGTAATTTTTTTAAAAATCATCACTTATTTGAATTCATTTCATGTTGGAAGATCTATTCTTTTAATATTTATTGGTTATTTTATGAATACACAAAAGGTTGAAGATATATTACACCAAGTATTTATAACTGCTATTCAAATGTTTCCATAGGACCAAATGTCCTCCAAGATAAATTGTTTCTCAGTTGGCCAGTGTCATTGAATTTTTGAGTGAGTGAGTATGGCTTTACGCTGCTTTAAGCAATATTCCAGCAATATCACGGCGGGCGACACCAGAAATGGGCTTCACACATGTACCCATGTCGGGAATCGAACCCGGGTCTTCGGCGTGACGATCGAACCCTCTAACCACTAGGCTACCCGACCACTCCTTGAATTTTTTACATAGGAAGAAGATCAAATAGAAAGGAAAATATATATAAGCACTAATTGCTTTGTATCTACTTTGTGTGCTGACTATGTAGGCAATTGCCATTTGAGACTTCAACAACAAGCTTTGCATCTATTGTTCGTTCATCTAAATGTAAAGTTCTAGACAGAAAACTATATGGCTCATTGCAAATCAATCTATTGACCTTTTAAAAAAGAGATGAGACAAACAAATCATGTCCAGAATAAAATATTAGTTTTTATCCATCTGTTTATGCAACAGGCAAATCTAATCCCTAAGTACTTATTTGGTTTAATATCAAAGCTATAAGTGAGTGAGTGAGTATGGTTTTACGCCGCTTTTAGCAATATTCCAGCAATATCATGGCAGGGGATACCAGAAATGGGCTTCACACATTGTACCCATGTCGGGAATCAAACCCGGGTCTTCGGCGTGACGAGCGAACGCTTTAACCACTAGGCTACCCGACCGCCCCTCAAAGCTATAAGCTTAACTGTATTCACTCAGGCCACAATGTTTGTTTGTTTGTTTGTTTGTTTGTTGTGAAACGCCACACTCAGCAATATTACAGCTATATGACGGCGGTCTGTAAATAATCAAATCTGGACCAGACAATCCAGTGATTGACATCATGAGCATCAATCTACGCAATTTGGATACAATGACATGCATCAACCAAGTCAGCGAGCCTGACCACCCAATCCCATTAGTCGCCTCTTACGATAGCATGGGTTGCTGAAGGTCTATTCTTTCCCGGAATCTTCATGGGACAGCATAGAAGTATAAAACACATATAAAATGGTTCATCTGGGTGTCGGGGCGGTCAGGTAGCCTAGTGGTTAAAGCGTTGGCTCGTCACGCCAAAGACCCGGGTTTGATTCCCGACATGGGTACAATGTGTGAAGCCCATTTCTGGTGTCCGCCGCCGTGATATTGCTGGAATATTGCTAAAAGCGGCGTAAAACCATACTCACTCACTCACTCACTCACTCACTCATCTGGGTGTCAACATGGCTTACAGGGAATATATACACAGGTAACATCTAACAATGGATAACTCTTCAGCATGATTAAAATGTAGATACGATTATTAAATAAACTTCAGTTTTCTCAATATACCTAATTTTGAACTGTTATAAAAGACATTAATTCTGTACATGTTAGGTTTTATGTAAAAGTGTTTAAGGATTAGCTATGATCTCTCTGTTATGAATAAATCCATCAATCAAATATTGTTTCTTGCAACAATATTTAAGTTGTATCACTGCCTGTCAGCTTAATATCTGGGAATCTTGAGGTTACTGTCATCGTTGATATCCAAATAAGTGTAGCATCAATAGGGATTAATTGATAAAGTTAAAACAAGAAGTGTACTGTCTACATATCCAGACTTGCCTATAAAGAGGATAGAATTACTACACGTCCATGGACTTTTCTTTCAGTACAGCCTTGGAGCAAAGCTAGGCATTTGTATATTGTCATCTGAAAACTCTTCACTGAGTTAAAATTAAAACATAAGTATCCATTATTTTAAGAACAAAATTATGGGATGAAGAGATTATGACCCTTGTGTGTGTCCGCATCACAAATGTCATATATTAGGAATAAAATATATGTCATAATCTCGCCAAACATTGCATAAACAATTTATATTCCAAAAATGTGACATTTAGGATACAGAAACACATTCAGCTAATAATGTCCATACAACTTCCAGTCCGTACAACTTCCAGTCCATACAACTTCCAGTCCGTACAACTTCCAGTCCATACAACTTCCAGTCCATACAACTTCCAGTCCATACAACTTCCAGTCCATACAACTTCCAGTCCGTACAACTTCCAGTCCGTACAACTTCCAGTCCGTACAACTTCCAGTCCATACAACTTCCAGTCCATACAACTTCCAGTCCATACAACTTCCAGTCCATACAACTTCCAGTCCATACAACTCACCTCCTTTTGTAATATCTGTGTGCATGTGAGCCAAGCCCCTGCACACGGAGTAGGCCATTTTACACAGCGTCGGCCAGTCCAAGGTGTTATTTTTTAAGTAATTCGTGAGCGAACCAACAGGAACATATTCCAGTACCAATAAATACTGCATGAGTCCATCTTGGGACAGGCGCTCGTCTGCTCCAAAAAACTTCAAGAGATTATCGTGTTCCATAAATGGCAACCTGTAAATATTCCCCTCGTTTTGATAATACTGTCTATAATGTGGAGTGTATATTTTGACAGCAACCTCCAAGTCATTGAGCAGGCCCTTCCATACTTCACTGTATCGCCCTTTGCTAATGATGCTGCACATCTTCAAGTCGTCGATTTCAAACCCAGGAGGAGGCTGGGCTTCAATGTGTTGAAGAGGGTCATGGATGACACGTTTGTTGGTGACGAACATTCGATAAATTAAATAAACTATTAAGATAACAAGTGCCACGGAGCAGACGGAGACGAGGGAGATGATAATCGTTTTCTCACGATAAGTTGGGTCGGGTGTAGGGCGAACTGAAAGAAAAAGAGTCATTCATAACAACATACAAATTAGTGTTCCTGTGCCCCAAATATAGGGTCATGGCACTAAGCATGTGTACAATTGTGCGTTTATGGCTTAATACTTGACCATGTTCCAGCTCTATCACACATACAGCTGTATTTTCTGTATAGTGCCATGGCACTGTAGCTCACCGAGATATGTAGTCAAACGTTTTTAAATAAAGACGTCCACTGAGCAAAAGATTCTGTCATCACTGATATTCAAACATTTTCTGCATGGATAATAATAACTAACGCTAAAATCTAATGAACAAAATGTGATGTCATCATTAGGAGGACCATACATGCTAGAGCACAGCTTGCTCAGGCGGGCAATTACAGAGGCGAAGTTTAACGGCAAATATGCATTTTGACAAAATTATAGGAAAACATGGCTGTCAAGGGAGCTTTATGGAAAATTGGATTCAAACCTCTTCAACAAATTCAGGTGTGATCTGACTGGTGGGTTAAGGATGTGAGATTCACTGGCTCAGTGATTTCTCAGCATATGATCTTTACTGTGAGGGGAAATGTATTTGGAGAGAATTACGAGCACGGTCAAATACTAAAAATACCTCACAATACAGGACACATAAAGTCAAGTCCCCTTACTCCGACACTCGTTAATCCGACAATCGGCTTTATCCAACACTAATGAAGGGAACCAATACCCATAAATCAGACAGTACCACACTCCGTCTTTGACACGCCTAATTTGCAACGGACTGCTGAAATCACTCATGTATCAGTGTCGTTAATCCGACACCGTGATCAGCTTACTCTCTGGTCACATGACCATGTGTACACAGCCCTGTGACCTAAGGCAGCTAGTGGCTGCAAAGTGCAAAAAAGCAGGATTAATCCCATGTTCAGAATAATTTGAGAAACCTTGTTTGCGAATTTCCTTATTTTAGTACATTGAAAATGTTTCAGTTGATTTCTGTTATACTGCAAAGATAGAGTTTCATTCTCTATCTTTGCAGTATCGACTAACTGTACCAGAAATCGCCATCGCCTAAACAGCACGTGCAACATGATCATGAATTCTTCAGTTACACAAATGACATTTGTCATACTGTCAGGTATCACAGATGTTAGAAGAAACATTATTTAAAATGACCCCATGTTTAAATAATGTCAATACATGAAATAAATCATCCAGACAATAGTATATATGAGCACATGTTGATCATGTTGATAAATGCATGGTACACACGCATCAAATTTCATAGACTAAGATCTAGTCTCTGAAATGAACATATCTTACAGAAAAAACAGTTGTTTAAATTATCTTAATAATTATATAATAAAAAGGAGCCCAGAGACTCTTCATTTTCAGATATTGCTGTAATCTAGACTTGCCACACACTATTGACTTGCATGGGCTGTATTGAATATATCAGGGTCTGTATTACACACTACAAATTTCATGACATCAGGAAAAACAAGGTCTGAGTAATTGGCATATATATAGGTTGGTTGGTTGGGTTGTTGTTAAACGCTGCACTCAGCAATATTCCAGCTTTATGACGGCGGTCTGTAAATAATCGAGTCTGGACCAGACAATCCAGTGATTGATATCATGAGCATCGATCCACGCAATTGGGATCGATGACATGCATCAACCGAGTCAGGTTTTTCAATATGGCTGCCTGAGCAACCTAATTGAAAATCAAATTCAGATCTCTTGAACAAAAAAATTAGGTGTCACCATTGGTGGGAACAAGTGTGTGAAGTTTCAGCGTCATTGTTCCAGTGAATCCTGCGAAGACGTTCACAACGCACAACAGCAGACAAACGGGCCATGATATGAGCTCATTTGACTTTCTGTCAGGTGAGCTAAAAACGTGTATATTTTGCTACTTTTACCATAGTCTTATTAAGTTGCTACATCTTATACCAAATTCATTTCAGACATATGTTTCAACCACAAGTAAACTGTTACGTAAAGACTCTTACGTTGTATATGGGGCGCTTCTGAGGTGTGCATATCAGGCTTGTAAACATCGGTGACGTTCTCATTACATCTCTCCCCGCCTGAGCAGCAGCAGAACTTGGAGTACGCCTCAGACACCCGCTTGGGAGGGGTATTGGACCGGCAAGACTTGTCAAAGCATTGGTTTTGTTCTCCAATCCAACATCCTGAAAACAAACAATCACACTTAAAACACTGTGCAGCTGCCTCCTCCCCTTGGTGCCTGGAGTGGCTCAGACACTCTCTACTAAAAATATAAATAGGACTGGATTCATCTTGTGACTGATGCCCTGTTGTAAAATAGAGAGCCACGAGGCTCTGTAGCTCACCTGAATTATGAAGAAGGTGAGGTGAGGTGAAATGGGGTTTAACGTCGTGTCCAAGTTTAATGCATTTATATAGCGATGTGCAAGCACACGTGTGCGTGGCTGTTTGTACTAGTCCGGAGTGATGCCGATTTATAGTGCCAGCCCACTGAGATACCATGCCGCAGTTTAACATGAATACCCCACTCAGACACAGCATACTGACTCCCAGCCGACCAGTCGTTGTTTTAGCCCCTTAATGGCGAGCGCCAGACAGGGTAACAACAAGTACCATCTTTTAAGGTCTTTTGTTATGGAGTGTCCGGTATCGAATCCCGGCCCTTCCACTCTCCGGACAGATGCTCTACCACTAGACCACGGAGGTGGTCAAATTAGGAAGAAATAATGGCAGACATGTTTAAAGTCAGATCAAAATTCTGTAACTCCAGAGGTGGGAGGGAACGAGAACAGGTACATACATGGACCTCATTTTGAAACACTAAATATTCATACATTTGGTAGTTATATATAGGCAATTGGGTAGACTAACAGTAAACAGGTTACAACACTATAACAAATTTGGTCTTACATTATCACAATTACTCAAGAAGAATTGCCAAATCACAAACTACCCATCCTTACCCAACCAGAGTTGGCTACAACTTGCACAACAGGAGCAGCCCCTTCATCACCAAATCTCCAAACAATGTAACTTAAACCATGCAATTTGCATCGTTATCCACTCGTTTGAAGCCCATGTAAAATTTCTAAAGATCCAGTAAGATCAACTTGTACTAGTCCATAATCAAAAACTAACTAACATCTACTGAAAATAAAGCCAAAATACAAGTTCAGGCAAGTACACACAAATGTTCTAGGCACAGACTGCCATGTCCTTCTGCCCAAAAAGCACTACCCAAGACCTTGACCTTTGACCTCACAGCATGTGAGAAAAGAGTTCCATGTGAAATAAGTCGATTGTTACTAGGGATATACTCAGATGCCAATAATCTTCAAGATAATCATAGTCAAGATGATATTACGATACAACTACATTGAACCAATACCTCAGACGTGACCTTGGCCCCAGACATAAATGCAATTACTGACATACGATGTGGTGGGATTTGTTGAGAAAGATGTAGATATGAAGTTCCATGCCAGTAGAATGCCTCGGAAACTGACAATGATATAACCACCTTCAACAAATATGTTCCTCATACACCCTTCATACGTAATCTGAAATTTCATAATTCAAAATAATATTTTGAATATGGTTGTCATGGCAGCCATATTGAAAATTCAACGACCTTGTGGTTTCAGAGAGAGATATGTTGAAAGATTACAACTGACTGGCAGATGGATGAAGATCAATAACCTGCAACATGACTGAAATTTTTATGCTTGAATATTTATTACTGACAAAACTCCATCAATGGGGCCTTGTTTCATAATGTAATCTTAGTGCTATGAATGCAGTAATGACCATAGACTTATGATAGTTGCAGTGCTGAGATACTCTGTTGCACTTCGGCCCAGATGGTAATATTATTAACCTTTCCGGATAACATCACGCAACCATGAACAAGTGTCAGGTAATTTAGCTGGTCATATCAACAGTTTCCTGTTCCAAGAATCAGGGCAATATCTGGTCCTCAATAATTCAACCATTATACACATATTCCCTTTGATTCTGGATTGTGGTACCTTTCGAAATGTGTAAATTAGGCTGAGTTTGGACTGTACTCGGACACCAATGATATTGTGTAAATTATTCAAATATGGCAAATGCAACTGGACAGCTCCAAGACACAAATACAGAAGTCGGCCGTTCCTCCCTAGCAATAATCAATATGAGATGATCAGACCAAAGGGCTGCCTTCTAACAACTGTCTGAGCTTGATCAAATTATACCACCAATAAGCTCAATAATATCCTCAAATACAATCTGCTTTGCACTGAGGCTCTTCATGAATGCCCATAATAAGCACTGACATCATACAGTGATAACATTTGCTACAATGTATAGCATATTCAGTGTCACTGTCTGATGGTTGCAGCTATTTAATAGTCCACTTGTAACGCACATAACTCCATCTGCAATGTTTGCCCAAAGCTCGGCATTATAACTTCCCCGGTCAATGGATCAACGTGCATTTGATTTTTCATTCTCAGCTCCCTGGGGAGTATACAACCCAAGCTGTTTGTGAGGCACATTACCATCTCATCCTACTGGGTACCCATTCACTGCTTGGATCAACGTGCATTTCATTTTTCATTCTCAGCTCCCTGGGGAGTATACAACCCAAGCTGTTTGTGAGGCACATTACCATCTCATCCTACTGGGTACCCATTCACTGCTTGGATCAATGTGCATTTGATTTTTCATTCTCAGCTCCCTGGGGAGTATACAACCCAAGCTGTTTGTGAGGCACATTACCATTTCATCCTACTGGGTACCCATTCACTGCTTGGATCAATATGCATTTGATTTTTCATTCTCAGCTCACTGGGGAGTATACAACCCAAGCTGTTTGTGAGGCACATTACCATCTCATCCTACTGGGTACCCATTCACTGCTTGGATCAATGTGCATTTGATTTTTCATTCTCAGCTCCCTGGGGAGTATACAACCCAAGCTGTTTGTGAGGCACATTACCATCTCATCCTACTGGGTACCCATTCACTGCTTGGATCAACGTGCATTTCATTTTTCATTCTCAGCTCCCTGGGGAGTATACAACCCAAGCTGTTTGTGAGGCACATTACCATCTCATCCTACTGGGTACCCATTCACTGCTTGGATCAACGTGCATTTCATTTTTCATTCTCAGCTCCCTGGGGAGTATACAACCCAAGCTGTTTGTGAGGCACATTACCATCTCATCCTACTGGGTACCCATTCACTGCTTGGATCAACGTGCATTTCATTTTTCATTCTCAGCTCCCTGGGGAGTATACAACCCAAGCTGTTTGTGAGGCACATTACCATCTCATCCTACTGGGTACCCATTCACTGCTTGGATCAACGTGCATTTCATTTTTCATTCTCAGCTCCCTGGGGAGTATACAACCCAAGCTGTTTGTGAGGCACATTACCATCTCATCCTACTGGGTACCCATTCACTGCTTGGATCAATATGCATTTGATTTTTCATTCTCAGCTCCCTGGGGAGTATACAACCCAAGCTGTTTGTGAGGCACATTACCATCTCATCCTACTGGGTACCCATTCACTGCTTGGATCAACGTGCATTTCATTTTTCATTCTCAGCTCCCTGGGGAGTATACAACCCAAGCTGTTTGTGAGGCACATTACCATCTCATCCTACTGGGTACCCATTCACTGCTTGGATCAACGTGCATTTCATTTTTCATTCTCAGCTCCCTGGGGAGTATACAACCCAAGCTGTTTGTGAGGCACATTACCATCTCATCCTACTGGGTACCCATTCACTGCTTGGATCAACGTGTATTTGATTTTTCATTCTCAGCTCCCTGGGGAGTATACAACCCAAGCTGTTTGTGAGGCACATTACCATCTCATCCTACTGGGTACCCATTCACTGCTGGGAGAACAGAGGCATATTTAAAACAAAGTCATTTGCTCCAGGAGACACAACATATGCTTTGGTTTGGGGCAGAACAGATGCCCAAGAAACTCTCAGGAGTCAAGCTAACAAACAGGGTCAACTATCTGAGGACCCTCTGCGACCAATGTTGCTTAACTTTGTCTGATTTGTGACACAGGACCATGTACCACCTTTGATCTCAGATCAAAACTACCATTCACCTATAGATACTCATGATATCAATCACTGGATTGTCTGGTCCAGACTTGTTTATTAACAGACCGTCGTCATATAGCTGGAATATTGCCGAGTGTGGCATTTAACAACAAATAAACACTATCCCCAATCATCCAAAGGCACCTGTTCATCAATAGGCTGGTCTGTATATCAAGTTTTAGGCAGTAATGTTCAACGGTTTAGGAGTTCTGCTCCAGAAACGAGCACTACCCTCATTTTCAGTATATCATTAGTCCAACTTGCTGTCATGAAAACATAAAAATGTAAAAAAATTTTTATATAAATCCCAAATCATCAAAAGGCTCCAGTTCACCACTTGTCTGATCTGTATAGCAAGTTCCAACAAGAAATATTCTACAGTTTAGGAGTTTTGCTCCAGAAACAAAACAGACAGAGGACGGACATGGTGATCGCTATATCGTCACGTTTTTCACACCGGGGGATAACATAAAACAGTATGCATTGCCACTACAATATATAACACATAAACTGTCTAGTACTACACTAGCATATTGTACAACATGGACTGTGATGGATAGAATGTATAATACTATCATAAAAATCATTATGACAGTAAATATTCATGGAACCATTCTACGGTGCAACTGTTCGTACACTATATTGATCAATATAAACCATGATGCTCTCTTGCACACACTGCAAAGTGGCTTTGGTTTTTTTAAGATGTATCAACAGATCAGGACTGTGAAGTAAATAACCGAAAGATTTTATTACCAGTTATGTACAGAAAATCAAGAGCAGTGAGGCTGTCCACCACTAACAAGGCCAGAAATTGTCATGACCTTATCACAAGAAAAAAAATCAAGACCATTGAAGCTCTCCACCACTTTTAGCAAAAGAAAAAGTCAAGAATAATGAGGCTCTCCACCACTATCACAACCAGAAATAGTCAAGATATCTGAGGCTCCCCACCACTACTATCACTAGAAACAAATACAGCTGATACATAAATGAGACTCTTCATCACTGTGATGTCAAGTAGAAGTCAAGAGTGAGGCTCTCCATCTTAACCATGAAAAAATAGACCAACG